CCTTTGTAATGTTGATATAACTTGTGCCTAATCAGTTTGTTTCATTTATGCAATAACATATGTTTAACTCAAAAAACATGTAACAAGCTATGAAAAGTCAATTTAAACTATACTTATTTGGTACTCGTGACGACCGCTAGTTTATAAAACAATAAAATAACCATTAACTTAACTACCGTACAATTCCTAAACGTAAGGGTTGGTTTGATATCGTATTACGGTGATCATTTTTTTTTATTGTTGAGCATTTCAAAAGCTTTAATGTCTGTTTAAAACGGTACCACGGCCGCTTCCGGCTGTAAAATGGGCAGAAACGAACAATAAAACTGTACCAGAAAAGTGAAACGCGGTACACGAACGAATTAAGTAACTGAATAATTAAAATACTTCAAATGTGCCTAGCCGCCTTCGGCCATCGTATAAATCCCCTCTAGAGACGGAAAAACCCTTTTCGGACCAATATTAAGTATCCTTACAATATCATTACAATTAATACTGCATTTTTAGGTACTGTCCGCCCGTTTTGCTTACTCTATTGGTGTTTTGATTGATTGATTGATTGATTGATAGGTTTTACGTCCGCTTCACTATAATATAAAAAAGGGAAAATATATCATTCATGAGGCAAAAAACAGTATTGGTTCAAATGAGGGTACCTCTGTTTTTTCGGATTTTCAATTCTGCCACTTATTTTGAATAAACTCGTGAAATTTCCCACTGTCATTGTTTTAAGCATGTTTCAAAGATTTAAAAACAGAGGATGTTTGAATAGGTTCCAAAAGCAAAAAAAAATCTCGTACAAATTATCGCCGAAATCGGCATGTTTTTTCACTCCAAATTGGTGACATTGAAGCGAGGCGTTGATAAATACCTTTGTATAAATCACAGAATGTCCATTATTATGAAGAGGATAATACACTGGAAAGAAAAGATTTCAATGCACATACTGGAGCAATAAAATGAAAGTATAGATCGACCTATAGCTAGATGGCGCCTTGAAGTGTCCAGTTTATGTTATCTATTACGAATAGCAAATAAGTGTATGAAACTGCTCGTTTTCATAGATATTTTATATTTGACATCCGCTTTTGATGTCTCCTGGCGATAAATTTGTGATGGTCGTAATGAAGACGACGTTTTTACATAATGTTATCTTATCGCATGATGAAAAACATGATTTGCGATCTAAAACATGATTTGCGATCTAAATCTATCTAAATCTATCAAAATTACTTTTTTTCGTGAATTGATGAAACCTGTGGCATGCCTTTTAAGCAAAACATACAACTGGTTACCTATACATTTACAGTTGTGTTACGATCGTAACAGGATACGCGCTTTCTCCTGTTTTTGTTACGAACGAATATTAAACATNCCCCCCATTGCAACTAAAATCTATTTCTATTTTTTGAGGTAATCAGAATGTTTTCTCGGTCGCATCACATAAGAACAAGTAGAATGTTTAAAATTGATTTCTTAATTTCTTTTTAGATCTGAGACTTGCCAAAAGTTTTTTTCTCCCACCAGTAATGATTTCTTTATTCATTGAGCTGGACACCTATTTAAGTATATAGGTAACTGGCATACGTTCTGTACTCCTTGCCAATAGTAAAACATACTTGCAAATCTTGTTAGCCCAGATGAACCAGTTTTGCCGAAATCGTCCTAGTAATTAAGTAAGAGTTGTCAGGACAAATATTTTTAACAAAGGGCCATAACTCCTTAAAAAGGGCCGAAATGAAAAAGAAAATACTACCCTGATGCACGACATCATGGGGTAATTACCATATCTGTTAACTTTCATTGAAATCTGACCAGTAGTTTAGGAGACAGACAAAGTGTTTTTTAACAAAGGACCATAACTCCTTTTAAAAGGGTCGGAATGAAAAAGTACTACTTGGATGCACAACATCAGGGGTCAGTTACCATATCTGTAAACTTTGCAATTGGCCGAGTAGATTAGGAGAAGTTGTCAGTACAAGATTTGTTTTAAGAAAGGGCCAAAACGACATGAAAAAGGATTGGAAAAAAATACCTCAATGCACAACATCAGGGGATAGTTATCATATCTGAAAACTTTCGTTGAAATTGGCCCCATAGTTTTGGAGGAGTTGTCATGGAAAGCATTTTTCAACAAAGGGCAATTACTCCGTAAAAAGGGTGAGAATGAAAAAATAATACCTGGACGCCCAATATCACGTGGTAAGTTATCATATCTGAAAACTTTCGTTGAAATTAGCCCCGTAGTTTTGGAGGAGTTGTTTGGACAAAGATTTTTCAACAAAGGGCCATACTTTTGAAAAAACAAAAAGGGCTCAAAGTGAAAAAATTATGCCTGGATGCACAACTTAAGGTGGTAATTACCATATCTGAAAACTTTCGTTGAAATTGGCCCCGTAGTTTTGGAGGAGTTGTCTGGACAAGGATTTTTCAATAAAGGGCCATACTTTTGTAAAAAAAAAGAAGGTCAGAGTGAAAAAAGCAATGCACAACTTCAGGTGGTAGCTATCATATCTGGAACGTTTCGTTGAAATCGATCCATAACTTTAGAAGGAGTTGTCCGGACAAAACGTTTCAGGATTTGTTCAACAAAGGGCCATAACTTTGTCAAAAATGGTCAGAATGAAAGAAATAATACCTGGAATGCACAACTTCAGGTGGTAGTTATCATACCTGAAAAAAAAAATCGTTGAAATTGGTCCATTTCTTTAGAAGGAGTTGTCCGGACAATTTTGTCTAGGGACAGAGAGAGAGACGGACGGACGGACATGCTGATTCCAGTATAACCCCCACCCCCACCCTAGCTTCGTTGCAGGAGGTATAATAGCATGTCTAACTTTGCTTACTCAAGTGATATAACAATTACATGGCTGACATGTTGAGTGTAATACTATATAAATGAGTAACATATATTAATTTTCAAAGTTACTTCGTCTCTCAGAGCTATTAATTTCTTTACATTGGCATGCCTTTTCCAAATAAGGGAGGGGACCAGTGATTGTTATTGCTCAACATTATCCAAACTACATGTGTGCTGGTCAACATGTAACACCACCACAACTATTGTGCCAATATTTTACATAATGACGAGATACATAACTCATCTGAAGAGACGGGGTTATAAAATAGCAGGGGCGGATCCAGGATTGCCTTAAAGGGGGGGGGGGGGGGGCGAGAAATGTTTCTCAATAGTCAACGGTGTGCTGCCGAAGGCGCGTAGCGCGAGGAGGGGGAGGGTACGTGAGGGGGTCTTCTAGAAAAAAATGTGTTTTCTATAACGTCTTAGACGCGATTTCCCGTGTTCTAAGGATTGCTTTTATGTTTGATTAACAAGAAGAAAAAAACATATTTTAAGTATGGCCTAAAGACTTTTTTTGTGTACTGGAAAAAAAATTAAAGTTTCGGTTCAAATTCTCTATCAACAGCGTGTTTTAAAAGTCAGATGGTATTATTATAGGGGCAACCTGGTGATGACAAGTGTATGAATCCACAGGGGGCTTGTTCATTATTACCTTATTTGGCGTCCCACCCTCAAGGGGGATACGAGAGGTCCACCGTCAAAAAATAAATGTAGGGACGCACAATATCTAGTCTTCAGACATTGTACCTACAGTACCGTACTTCATGTAATAGTTTGTCGTACAAAAGAACAAATAACACCATAACATCGTTGCTGTTTAATTAATGAGTTTCTCATGGCATCACTAAGTTGCTAAACAAACGGATAAGTTCAAATCAGTGCGACACCCAAGACCACTAGCTATATAGTCTTTATTTTATTATTTTATAATTGTTGACTAATTCACTAGTGTAGACAATGATATATCTGAAATGTCCACGCTGATTAACTCATGTAAGGGCGTGCATATTACCAACAGTGGTACATTTGCTAAGCTATCTGGTTAAAATGGTACAACTTAGGAGGCACATACGCGTCACCTTTAAATTTAATTTAAAATTATCATACTTGTAAGTACAGCATATCATCTCTTTCTGGTACGTACAACTTATTACTACGTACACACTAGTATGCTGTGTGAAGATACCATCGTGTACTTACAAGAAAGTATCTTCACACAGCATACTGGTGTGTACGTAGTAATAGCTGTAAGTACCACAATGAGATATTATGTTGTACATACAAGATAGTTAAACTTTACAGTTCCAACAATAATATAATACCAAAATAATTGAATGGGTATGTTTAGTCGATTATACATAATATTGTCAGCCGAAAAAAACCTTTATCGTTCTTGTATAATGATATGATTAATATCGTCCGGGCGGTTAGGAAGGTTACAATAAAAAGTATTAATTTTCAGATCATCTATAACGAGCGGTCAATAATATAATTGTGCCCCCCCCCCCCCTAAATCCGCGCCTGAATAGTGATAAAAACTCTCGCTTGATAATCGATTTAATACAACGTAATCCGTATCACATTTATTAAATAGCAGTTTATGCACAAATGTAATGTCCATGTGATAAATTCATATATTTAAATAAGTTTTCCATTTTTGAGAAAACTTTATTATTTGTTTAACTAGAGTAATAACTTAATAATACAATTTCAGCCTAAAAGACACCATGTTGCAAACGCAACAGTGTGAAATTTGCAATTTTGAGTATGAAATACTGGTAAACGATAGAAATCCGGCATTATTTTTCTCAACCCTTTTTTTTTACCCGTTAATGTCATAGCCTTCAAGAAATGCTTAATAATTTGATTTGGAAGTCACACTTTCTGGACCAATACTGAATTTTGTTAAATATCATAGTAGGGATGTCGATTCCAAAGTCAAGTCCGTATCCCGGTCATCAGGACGGGCAATGCTGTTGCTGCAAGTTAAGGGATTCATGGTATGATGTAGCTGGTCTGTAACGCCATGGGGATATCATAATCTGACAAAAACATCCGGAACACCTTTTTCCGGTATCGTCTCAGTATATCTTAATTTTCCCGCGATTACAACTATCCCATAATGCACAGCAAGGCTGTAAACACATGGACGACGACTAGATTGAGATCGGGAAGAAAACATACGTTTTTGGTGATGTCATCACATAAATCAGTGATGCATGACCACGACGGGTATTCTCATGATCCATTGTGGACAATATGAGTGCAAGAACTCGGATAAGGCATTGGACAAGTCGTAAAATAGACGATAATTTACTCAGACAAGTTGCACCCTCACCGAAGCCATCGACATCTGACGAGACAGCAGCGCACGTTGGATGTAAGTTTGTTAGTTGTAAACACCGTAACAAGTGAACAAATATTGAAAGGTTTGCTTGATCGATTGCCTTCCTATTTATGTCGTCAATTTTGAAAAATATATAGATGCATTCCTAGCATAACTTTCTCAAAACCTTTTTGCATTCGACTGATGTTAGTGACAACACTGTCAACAGTCTGCAACAGTTGACACAGGGACCTGAGAATTAAGACACGATCCACTTTTTAGTAATGACAACATGTGTCCTGAGACCTTTACTAATATTTGACTTTAATTTGTTGGTCATCATTTTGGATAGATAAATGGTTTCGTTGTCTTAACACATGCATGCTACACTAAGTTATACTGATATGGGTGACAGAACATAGACACGCCCCACAGTAGCCTGAGTTTGCTCTTGCCCTAACACTGACTAAGACATTTTGACATATAGATTGTAATATGATGTATATGTACATGTAACTGTTCTGTTTCACTGTGTCTTGAAAAAGGAGCGGATCGCTCTGAAAATTTGACAACCTAAACTTTTCCACACTGTTGGAATTACTTCTTTGCCCCATATATATATATATATATATACTTACTAGTCGTGTACCAATAATCGGAAACATCGATTAAATCGAGTTTGAAAAGGGTCCGATCTAACAATCGATTTTGCTGATGAAAGATCGATTAATTATGTTCAATTGAATTGTAATCCTTTTCTAACTTGAAGCAGACGCAACATCTGCACCGACATTATAAATTTGGTGGTTAATATAAAAATGGAATTGTATATATGGTAAAAAAGCGGAAATGCTTTTCGTTGCGTCACTTGTATTCGTTTCGTATTATACATACATCCGCATTTTGTATCAACTGCAACCGCAATATTTGAAAGCTAGTAAAATGAAGCTAGCAGAGTGTTTTTCGTGATAAATTATTATTAATATGCTATGTTTTAGTGATTGGAGCATTCAAATGGGGGTAATTAATACCTAAACTGTAAGTACAACTATTTGTCATCAAGTTTTGAGTCAAAACAGAGATATAATTGAATCCTTCCTTTCGCCTAGATTTCGGAAACAAGTATTTTCTCATCAGTGTCATTTAAACCGATAATCGATTATGGAGTTTCGATTATCGATCTTGAATAGTTGACCGTTTCCCAGCACTAATACTTACCAACCTCTTGAAAATTTCATGGGGGAGATTCCACGTACTCCAAATTAAAAACACAAAAATAATATCTGCATCCGAAGAGGCACAAAAGAACCATTTTAGAAAACACCTTCTTTAAGGAGTTTCCACCCTTCGTAATACACATGTTTTTCTTGTCGTATTTTCGTGTCGTCATTTCCGTATTGCGTATCGGGCATTCCATTAACCGTAGTGTAAATTATAGTAACACCGGGTAAACAATAGTACACGTGCGTGACGATGATATGTCAACACCCGATATCTAGACTTAACTTGGAAATGTGTAATCACACGTACTTCAGAAATAAAGCTTATGATACAAAGACATTAATTAACTCACGAGAAAACACTGACATACGATCAGACGACTTCAAGAAGGTCGTATATGAGGCGCCTGGAATGCAGACTGATGTATTTTGTTTACCGACCTCACCTGTACGTATCACGTGCTAACAGTAGTTCAAAAGCTCTTGTTCGCTACGACTTTTGTTGTCGAGCAAGTTACGCTCAGATAAATCGGTTCAGAAATGCAATTACAATAACTCTGTGAAAATAGTGGTTTGTAAAATATCAAGATCCCTATAAAATACAAGTGCATGTGCGTGCACGTAATGACGGCATACCATGTGATAGCCTATGGTTACATATGTACCTGACATGTTAATATACCATGCGTAAGCAGGCAATGGAATGATGTCCAAAGTGTACATGATTGAGAGTAATTTTGTTCCATAAAAGAACAGTAAATTGACAAATAAATGTAGTAATTTAATTTATTTCCGTCGTTTTTGGTATATTAAATAAAATAAGTGTCATTGTATAAATTCTATCCCTCTGCAAAAAGTTCCGATTTTTTTCAAGGTAGACAACTCTCATCAGGATCAAAATAATTGTAAAATGTAAAATAAATTAATTATAAAGACTTTGTGTTTATTTGGTTCAATTTTTCACTCTTTTTGTATGTAACTATGTGTCCTGTTTGATTTTGGCTTGTATTTAGTAACTTTTATCCATGTAGTTTCAATAAAAAATGCTTTTTGTAACTTGTTGTAGATATTTTATGATAAATAAAATATTTGTAGGGTTGATTAGCAATGTTTCTTTTCATTATTTTATTGTTGTAATAGTTTTGAACAATGCCACACGCTCAAAAAATGTGCAAGTGTTGAATTTGACAAAAATTCAATTTTTCGGTATTTTTTACAAATAAATCCCCAGTTTATCGGAATGCTTAGATTTTCATAAAATCATCTCTACATAGTGACATAACCATCATGTGAAACATTCATTGAATTCTGATGGCTAATTGCGAAAGGGTGGAGCCTCCTTAAAATCGAGTTGGTTTTTCAGATGAAATATTTATATATTGGAGTATAGGAATAGTTTTGTAAATTCACTGGTTGGAAATATTAAATTTAGGGTCCTTAAAGGGGAGACTTCACAAATATGGATATATACACTCAGTTTATAGAGATAAAACATCTTTGTAAACTGGGATAAACTGGTACAGAAGTATATCAAACTGCTTTTAAGGTATAATTACAAAACTTCCATTCAGGGCCAAGTGAGCCTATGACCAGCTGGTGTCTAGATCTGTAGTCCTTCCATCCAGCATCACCTTTGTATAGCTCATCATCAGATGGTGGCAATCTCCCTTTGTCTTTGGCCATGGTCCGTTTGTCAGTAACAGTTTTTATACGGTATAAAACATTTTATCGGGATGTATTATATGGTATGATGAGCTTAAATATCATTGAATTTTTATGGAACTTTATTGATCTATATGCATACATGAACATTATTCTGTAAAGGCTGTGGCTACGTTTGAAGTTGAGGAAAATGTACAGTGGTCAATGTGGGTAAAAAGCTTTAAAATAAAAAATTGTGAAATTTTAAACAACAATATCTTAAGAATGTTTAAGAGGTTTAAAATGTCTTGTATTCTAGTAAATAAATTTGCTCTGAAGTTACCTATATATGTCAGTTTCATTTAAAAAAAGAAACAGGTGAGTGATACAGGCCCATTGGCCTCTTGTTCAAATTCATATTGGGGTTTCCCATGGTCCAGAGTTGTGCATGTTCATTTTGAAAAGCTAGGTTGCCATCTTGAGTTTTTACAGTTCAAGTTTTGTTATTGCTATTTCTCAAAAAGTGTTTGACAAATCTTTCCGTTGTTCTGTAGTTATTTGTTTATAATGTTTTGCCAAAATCTTTCTCTTGACCATGACTTCTATACTGCACCAGGTAGTTAGGCTTTAGTGCATGATGTCACTTCTTCCGGTATAACTATATATTTACAGTATCACCAGAAATATGTAAGGTAATAAATATCAGGCACCATATACTGATTGAGGTTTACCATTAACAACAAGCACCAAACCGATATATACTGTATACAATAACAGGTTTCTGTGGCTGGCATGACTCAGTGAGGGTCACTCCCCATGCTTCTTAAGAGTGTCGTCAAAGTGTTATTCTCTACACAATGACACTGAGGATGAAATCCTTAATTATTTACGAGTACCTGTCACACATGCACCGAAAGTTTTGGGCATCATGAGGATAGATGTATAAACACTACAACCAAATATGTTCAACTTCACTTTTCCCACCCTTCACAGGTGTGTCCCCCGTTTTAGCCGGGAAAGATCAGCTTGTCACCCCCTAGGGAGAGATAGCCTCGTGCCAATTAGCACGTGTTCAATTGTGACGTCGTTAAAATGAGTCATCAGTGATTGTGACGTCATCAAAAGTAAAAGACGATATGCATACCCCACATGTGTTTTTGGGAGAGAAAATTTTTGGGAGAAAAATAATCATTGATTCCCTACATCAAGGGTGTGTAACAGAGAAATCTCCAACCCTCGGGATGACTCTTTTGGTTGTCTTGCCCTCGGCAGAGCCTCGGGTTAGACAACCAAACTACATCACCCCTCTGGTTGGAGATTTCTGTCGCATCCTCAAGGTAGGGGAAGATATAGAAGTCCTTTCCATGTAAATTGTGATGGGATACAACCCACCTATATGGAGAAATGGTCAACATAGCATAGGAAAAAGGAAATAATCTGGATCAAATGTCACTTTCACTAAGTTGTCACTGGAAGCAGATTGAATCCATGGCAGTGTAAAGCTCCACCTCTGCAGTGGTCATCAAACTTCAAGTAACACTGCATAATCAGCTGTTGTGCATATATATACAGGCCTATGTGTATGACCTAATATATATGGGCCAGTAATTCCTCTTTAAAATTTTGGAATTATTTTCCCCTAATTCAGTTAAAAATTCCCCAGCTGAAATACTTCCACATGAATATCTGTCTTTGTTCTATTTCTTTTTCATTTTCCGTCTCAATCAGTTCATGCTCAACAAATGAGTGATTTATTTAATTCCCTGTATTCATGCTGTCATTGCTGAAATTTTACAAAACGTTTACAGCTGACAGTATACAATATCAATTTAATTCTAATGCATATCCGGGGTTGGAATCAAATCGTCTATAATAAACTAAAGATCTCATCAATGCACCCCCACCCCACCCTCTGATTTGTTATATACCTCAGTGGTATACAGATGTAGTTGTAGGACTGACCTATGATTTGTTATATACCTCAATGGTATACAGATATAGTTGTAGAACTGGCCTATGATTTGTTATATACCTCAATGGTATACAGATATAGTTGAAGAACTGACCTCTGGTTTGTCATATACCTCAGTGGTATCCAGATGTAGTTGTAGAACTGTCCTCTGATTTGTTATATCCCTCAGTGGTATACCGATGTAGTTGTAGAACTGACCTATGATTTGTTATATACCTCAATGGTATACAGATATAGTTGTAGACCTGACCTCTGATTTGTTATACATATCAGTGGTATACAGATGTAGCTGTAGAACTGACCTCTGGTTGGTTATATACCTCAGTGGTATGCAGATGTAGTTGTAGAGCTGACCTCTGATTTGTTATATCCCTCAGTGGTATACCGATGTAGTTGTAGAACTGACCGCTGATTTGTTATATACCTCAATGGTATACAGATATAGTTGTAGAACTGACCTATGATTTGTTATATGCCTCAGTGGTATACAGATATAGTTGTAGAACTGGCCGATGCTTTGTTCTATACCTCAGTGGTATACAGATATAGTTGTAGAACTGACCTCTGTTTTGTTATATACCTCAGTGGTATACAGATGTAGCATTAATCTTCATTTTTTTTTTTTTTTCAGGTGGCACCTCTTTAGATCAAGATGTTGGGATAGATTGTGATTGTAGCACAGCTAAAGTCACAACGTCTACAAATGAAAACAAAGACATATTGTACAATTCCTCTGATGTCAAAATAGAAGTAGACTCTAACGAGCTGGCAGATCAGCAGGGATTGTGTAACGACCTGAGTGTAAACAAGTGTAAATTTTGTGAGCAATTTTTCAAATGCTATATTGATTTGATAAAGCATTTAAAAGACTACCACGTTAATGAACCTGCCATGGATTCCGACGCAAAGAAATCTAGTACCTCTGCTGCTGACGGCAAGCTTGTCAGATCTTACAAACACAAAACAGGAATGTTTGAATGTGAGTTCTGTGAGAGGGTTTACAAGTACGGTTATGATTTGAATAGACATGTGAAAGATGCCCACTTAAAAAAACTGAAGCGTTGCAGAGAGAACAAGAAACTGAATGAAAAGATCAAAGCCTATGTGAAAAAATACCTTCCTTTCAAATGCAAAACTTGTGGCTACGTCTATGTTTCACAGAAGGGTTTGACGCATCATATGAGACAGGTTCATTCCAGCGAAGCAGCAGCTAAAGCAAAATGTGTCAAAGAGATCGGTGACCGCAGCAAGAAGCTGCTTTCTTTGATAAGCAATATCAAATCAAAGACTGGGTCGAATTCTACTAAAGAAGCTTCGGAACCAAATTCATCGACCAAGTCTCCAGCATTAAAAAGAAACAAAGTGATGTCCCCGAAAGGCCCATCCAAGGAAAAGGCATCAATAAAGAAAAAAACTGTTCAACCGAAAGTCCCCTCGAATGGGACACTGTTACATCCCAAAGTAGGCTTATCTTCACCATCTCGTGAGAAATCTCCTCTCAAGAAAGCAAGCACAAAGTTTCCTGACAAAAGAATGCACCCAATTGAGGAAATACATGAAAAAAGTGAGAAGAAATTGAGATGTAAATTATGTCAGAAAATCTATGGTACACGCCCAGGACTCATGTACCATCTGAAGGTAACTCACCTTTACTGCATCGTATGTTACAAGCAGTTCTGTTATCAGAAGATCTACGACAAACACATGGAGATCAAGCACAATCAGCGCCATGTTGTCGTCGACGACAATTATTTTTCTGATTTGTCAAAAGCAAGTGAGACTGCAAGTGGTTCAGCACCGGAAAGTACCAAGGTAAAGCCGGACTCTCCGGATGTAAAACCTCAGATTATGAAATCAAAAGACTGTACTGAGAAAATGTCAGCTTCCAGCCAAAATTCCGCCACCAAGCTAGCTGTATCATTCATATCATGTCAGTCAAGCTCTTTGAGCACTAACAACACTGTAAAAATTCCAGAGGGCACTGTTCTCAGTCCAGTCAAAATCAAACTAAATAGACTGCCTTCAGACCCTGCAGCTCTCCAAAATTTTACACAGAAGCATGCTGTAGTATCAACTGAGGAACCTGAAAAGCATGACTTGGAATCATTTACCAAAAACGGTTTGGACAATAAAAAGTCCAATTATACGAACAGTGTGGTTTCCACAGGGTCGAAAGACATAACTCTTACTACCCAACTTTGTCAAGACACACAAAAAACGGACATTGTCTGTGAAAAACGAACGACTCGATCCAAACTGGGGCCAAAATCGAAACGAAAGTCGACGAGAATAAGCTATGGATTTAATGCCACAGAACCGAAATCACAACCAGTAACAGTGTCGGATAAACGGAAGGTTGTGAAGTTACCAAATGAGACAGACAATTGTGACAAAGAACTCTCTGTGAAGAAGGAGGACGCATCAGTTAACGATGTACAAAATGTCAGAAAGACACGGAGTAGATTACGGAAAGCAGACCATTCCAAAGACACTACACCGGAATCCGTGGATGATGGGCAACTCAAGCTCATGGAGGTGGACAGTTTAAGCGGAGGAGATCTAGAGCCATCAATAGAATGTTCAATACTTTCTTCTTGTACAGAAGATGTTACTGACCAGTCAAATAAGAATTCAGACACGACTACAGTAAAGTCTTCTCTGAAATCCCAGACTTCTACTGAGCGTATAACAAGAAGTTCTTCACAGCCAGATACAAAGGAAAATACTCATTCAGATGGGATCATAACTAAGTGTCATTCGCAGCCAGAGAGGAAAAATTCCACTGAGCTTTCAGCTGGTTCTTCATCGCCTGCAGCAAGAGGTATTCCTTTTGTTGAACTGGTTGAAGCTACTGATATTGACCCTGTTACGCAGTCAACTAAGAGTTCTTCTCGACGACCTGCTAGGAAAGATAGGTCTTCATCTGAACCTTCAAATTCTTCACGTTTATCCAGGAAATTGGCAAAGTCATCAGATTTAACTAGTTCATCACAACTCGTTCACTCATCCAGGAGTCCTTCTTCTCAACTAACTAGGAAAAAGACAACTTCATCTGAATTTACACCATATGCTCACTCAACCAAGAGTGCATCTGTACCTACAACCAAGAAATACATGCCTTCATCTGAACCTTTACAGTCATCCAGGAAATTAACAAATTCATCCAAACCTTTGACCTGTTCATCACAGTCTGGCTTGAAGGATAACACATCCAACATTCCTTCAAATATTAGTTCCATTTCTACAAAAAATTATCAACTTCTTGCTGATCCAACACTGACATCACCTGAACTGGCATCAGAGGAGAATACAGGTTCAGAGGCAGAAGATACTAGTCATAGAATAGAGCAAACAATATTTGCAGAAAAAATGTCTTCCAGCAGAGAAACAACAAGAGAAAGGCAGGAAATCGAAACACCTATCAAACACACAACATTACATTCAAGAAGTAAGGCTGATCGTATGAGCCATGACCATGATATTCGAGAACTTATGTTTGGGAAGTCCTGTAGTGCCCGTGACCTTCATGTAGACGATCAACGTTCACCTGAACATCACGATGACTTGAAATGGAAAATTGTGCATGAAGAAAAATCTTATGATTTGAACAAATTAACTCTGAAAATAACCAGAGATGTGAAAACAGATGTAAGGAGTGTGAGGACACAGGAAAGATTCTTATGTAATTTAACAGGATTGAAATTGAAAATTGTTCGTGATTTCTCTCAGCAGAGAAGGACCGTTCTGTCAGATGATGATCGGAAGTGTCAAGGAGAATCCAGTACTGGCCTGTCAGACACACCACAAGCTATACATGTGATTTCTTCAACGGATGGACTGTCATCTGACTTAGAGAAGGCTACATCAGGCATTCAGCATGACACGCTTAGTGCCCTTGGTGACAATTTTTCCTCTGTTACTAGTGACAGTGATGACTTAACATCTCCAAGAAAGAGTGACATGAAAGATAGAAATCATGTGACGTGTCCAGAAAAATTGACACCCAGTGACTCTGAGGTTCGGAACTCTCCAAGACTAACTCGTTCTGGTAACAAAAGTGATGGAAAAGCAACGCAACTAACATGTTCTGATGACACAGCTGTTTACAAATCACCCAGGTCGACAGATTCTGTTGATCAGGATGACATACATTCTCGGAAAAGAACAATCAGTTTCGATTTTGAAAGGAATTTGGCAAGAAACTCTAAAGTAGACAGCAGAGAGACGAGTTCTGGTGATGCGAGTTCTCATAAGAGAAGACTCAGTGACAATGATGATATAAAACTTGTGAGAAACACTGGAGATGTTTCTACAGGAAGTGACCTAGCAACAGTTACCAATTTGGTGAGATCCTCTGGCAATAACATTAAAAAAAAAACTCCTTGCGAGACGATTGTAGGACCAGCAGGAGATCGTGCCAAGACATCTGCCAGCAATCTGTCTATGAGGGAGAGGACAAACCAAGGTCATGTAGAGGAAGAAGTGGATGTGGTAGGTGTACAGATGAAAGCGTCAGATTCTGAACACAAGGAAGATTTGCAGAAAGCCAACCTTAAAGAAACACATGGTAGTGATGACGATTCTCAGGACATTTCCATGCATCAAGATGCTAGACTCAAAGTGTTGGAGAAATCGCCAGGGAAGAAAATGGAGATAGACATTGAGCACCATGACACTGACAATATTCTAACATTGTGCTCGCAGTCTTTCGGCAGTCTTCTTAAGCATGTCGAGGAACGGGGTGTAGCAAAGGTGCTAGTGGAAAAGTTACCGGATACAGTGACTTTAAAGGAAGCATTGCCAAACAGTTCGCTCAAGAAAAGAGGTATGTCAAAACGGAACAAACCCGCTCCTGCATGCGTGAAGAAGCAGCGTCTGGTTCACCGAGAGCCGTGGGAAAAAACACCAAGTGGATCATGCAATGGGGTAATGGAGGAATCTGAAAAACATCCTGAAAGTGAAGACATTATTGTTCCCAGTCAAACACCGTCTGACACCACTATTGATGAGATAGACGGAGAATGCATCCCATCACCCGATGTGAAGGTAGGTTATGATGTGCTGTCAGACAATATGACAGATACCCGTGAGAAACAGAGTGATGGTAGTGGTGCCAAAGTTCTTACGGGAGACACGATCGGCCAACAGCTTTTGAAGGATTTCGATGAAAGTGATCTGGATCTTCTTTTGAAGGATGGTTCATGTCACGACTTATTCTCCGATAAAAACGGAGAGGTGACTTTGTCAGATGATGGTTTGTATGCATCCGTGAACACACCACTGGGTGATGCGAACAACAACCATTTCAAAGGGAAAGTCATAAAAGAAATTATGGAAATTATTCAGTTTGTGGAGAAAATGGAGAACTGTGAAATCGTGAAGTCCCCTAACAGAACGGGAGAGACTGGTTCCATGCTCATTGCAAAAGAATCAAAAGATGAGCAGGCCAAGAGTGTTTGTTCTTTTGGACAGTTGGACCATGTTGAAAAGATACCAAAAGTGACCAATGCACAAGTAATGACGGAATCTTCACTCGCTGGTGGACACGTGCAACAAGGCAACAATGGAACCGACACTGCATTTAGAAATATAAACATCACCAAAAAAAGTGTTTGTCATGTTGGCAAGAACGAAAGGAGGAATCCAAGTGAAGAAAACATCACCATTTCTGAAAAAGAAAAAAGTGTGACTCCTGCGGAAAGTGTTGCTTTGAATAGAAGTTCTAGTGACGGTAGTAGTCTAGGAAAGAGATCGTTGGAGAACAGACTCCTTAAGAAGGATCTCTCATTGAAAGCTGGGGGTAAAACATGGCCACCAAAGTGTAGGGTGTGTGGTAACTCCTTTTCTTCAGAGAAGAATTTAGGACGACACAATGCTAGATTTCATCCGGAGGATTTCAGAAAACAGCGAAGGTACTCAATTGTTTGCAAATTGTGCGGTATGATATATGCAAACAAACAAAACCTTAAGAAGCATGTTGCCAGTAAACATTCAGAGACCGAAGCAAGTTCAGACGACGCTTTCAAACTTATATGTAAGGAAATAGAAATTGATCCGGATCCATCTTCAAGTCAAAATTCCAAGGAGAAGCTGAAGGAGAGGTACGACATGAATATCCAGTACCGATGTTTATTGTGTGACATCACTTACAAGAATATGAGTAGTGTTATTTGTCATATCGAGTCCAGTCATAAAAGAAGGGATAAACCAGTAAGGAACTGTTATAGAGTGGAAAACTTGTGTGACGGTGACAGCGAGTCAAAAGCACAGGAAGCTGGTCATAGTTCCGTAGGAAGCTCAGGAGAACACTTGTGTGGCGGTGACAGCGAGTCACAAGCACAGGAAGCTGGTCATAGTTCCGTAGGAAGCTCAGGAGAACACTTGTGTGGCGGTGACGGCGAGTCACAAGCACAGGAAGCTGGTCATAGTTCCATAAAAAGCTCAGGAGAACGCTTGAAGCATCAGTCTTGTAATAGCGACCCAAAGATGGATGAGTCTGAGGCAGCCGTGCACAACCTGTTGGAAAGCTTTGGAGGGGACGCTTCATTTGACACCCATAAGTCTCCGATACAGGATTCAGATGTCATGAACTCTCTCAATAAACAACAAGGAGGTGCTGGGCAGCACTGTCAAGGAGCCCAGCTAGAAAACAATGCTTTTGAGGAGGAAGGACAGGATCATCATGGAAGTCAAGCTGAAGATTGTCATGGAGATCAGCAAGATCACAAACACTCTGAGAAAATATTACATGAACGTGTGGGAGATAAAAAGCTACAGCATCAGGGAGAGGAAGAGTCAAAATGTGATGGAGAGAAAGAACCGGAGAGTCGTGGGGAAGGAAAACCGGAACGACAAAGGAATCAAAACGAGGAAGCTGCATGTGAAGAAGGAGGGAAAGATCTGGTGACAGAGCCATTATCTGATCCGAATTTAGATGTTGAATCGTCTTCGTCTGAAACTATATTGCCCGAGTCAACTGTTCAATGTCCTCCTGTCCAGGAAGCAAGTGGTTGTACGAAAGAGGAGATACACCTTGTGCAGAATAGTGCTGACATGCAGCAAGATCAACAGCCTTCTCGCTATGTGTGTAAAAGTGATGACAAGATTTGCAGAGAAGTTGCTGATCAAACTGGATTTCGTATTCATCGAAATTGTACAGTCAAACTTGTCAGGTTTCCCCAACCTTCCTGTGAGATGACAATGGGAGATTTCCTTCTGAAGTCTAAAGATTCTGGGAAAGCTGTCGTTGGGAAAATAAGCACTATTAGTAGGAACTCAGCACCAAACAATTTGAACCTTCCTGAAGATGTGGATACAAGACCTCTGGAAGACCGTAAGGAAGACGAAGTTGAAAGCAGGACACAAATTCATACAGTAAAAGAGACAGAAAACCCGGCCAAGTCAGCGTTAACTGAGGATCAGCCTAGTAGAAAGTTTGTATGTGAATTGTGCGGATTGACTTATGTCGCCAAAAAGGGTTTAAAAAGACACATCTCCAACAAACATTCAGAGACCATAACAAAATCAGGAGAAACTTGTAAAGTGAGATGTGAAGAGGAAATTGATTCCAACCTAGGTACAGGACATTTCACACAAATTCAAACCATCGCGGAGACAACAAGCAGAAAAACAGGTAAAAACCCTGACATCTCTTCTGTTGTACACGAAGGTCAAGCCGAATCAAAGAAATCAATATTGGGCAGTACAGATGGCTCCATGAGTGAAAACACAAGTGCAAAAGGAGAACTAGTCCTCGAATCTGACAGTCAACCAGATACTCCTAGAGACAAATCAGACAGTCACTCAGATGTCCTAAAAAACAAATTTGGTGACCACCAAGAAGTCATGAAAGAGAAGTCAAAGACCTTACCAGTGCTGGAATCAACTCTAACCAAACAATCAGTTCTCGAAGAATCGGTAGAATGTCAACCAAGTCAAAGAAAAAGACCAAAAGTTCCTAAAACTAAGAAAGATAAGGAGAAATCTAAATCCAAGCTGATCAAAGTAACACCAAGTGGTACTCCCACAAGTTCAGCAGCATCAAGTGGTACAAGTTCAGCCATCACAGCCTTTGAAATGGCCATTAGTACTCCAGCATATTCACAGCACAAGTTAAAGAAAAGGAAGTTAGACCGGCAGACATCCTCTGAAGGACCTCCGTCCAAACAACCGAGTTCTGCCAAGTCCAAGGCCAGGTTGGATGAGAAACCTCCTGGTGATCCAGAGGAAACAGTTTCTACTGGTACAGACGAGAGATATCCTAGCCATACAGTGGAGATATTTCCCAGCAATATGGAGAGAATGCATGATAGCAATGTCGGTGATGGCCATGCGATGCTGTGGCAGAAAGATGCTGAGTTCCAAAGTGGCCCTGAAACAACATCACCAAGGAAAACTGAAAGCCCAAAGAAATCCAACAAAAAAAGTATTGATAAGATCGTGCAGGGTATCATTCAACGACAAAAGGATATTGAAAATAAGAAAACTAAGGAAAAATTGGACCCACCAGAAGTTGATTTTCCCGTGCCATTTGAGGAGATTTTAGCTCAGAGCAAAAACAAAGCAGCAAAACTTGCTGAGTTGACGGAGTCTACAGCACCTTTTAATGATGACAATTCAAATTCATCGGGGTCTGTAAAGAGTGGGAAGTTACTGACAAAACCTGTTGACATATTTTCTTCGTTACAAATAGGTCCAACTGTTAAATTCGGAAAAAGTTTCCGTAGGGCTTCGTCTAGAACGACTGCTTCGTCAGCAGGTGGAGAACCTCAGCAGAGTTTCAGATCGCCCCTAGACAGAGTCGGAGTTGAGATGCCAATGAAGTTTGGCGCATCACAGGAAAGCAAGAAGGTTGGTGAGGCCAGTTCTAAACCTAAACAACAGAGCAACAAAAACTATTTAATAGATATATTGAAGGATATACCCTCTATATACGACTACAGTAATGATGTAGGACCGTACGTTTCTCCATGGGACAACCCGTCGGTGAGTAAAGCTGGGAAGTCGGTCATTGGTGGAAACAAACCTCCAATGGGTTCCAAAAATGTTCACTTTGGATCGGAGATGAACGACACAGCAGCAGTCATGTCAAATGATGACCATGTCATGGAAATCTCAAATGATACCACAGTGGAGATTTTCAATGAAGATAGTGATATGGACATTTCAGAGGATGGAAAGACGGACACAAAGCAGGATTTGTTGCAAAAGTCATCAGAGTTTATGCCCGAGGAGACCGAGGAGGAACAGAAAGACTGCATTTCTGCCACACCTTATGACAATGATGAGGAAACACAAAAAAAATCAGTGCTTCCTGATGAAGAGAATTATCACAATTTAACTATAGCAAATGACGAGGAGGATTCTGACAATGACCACAGAAATAAAGACAGATCAGATCATTCTGACGATCATCTCTCGGATGATGGACAGAGCAATATAGAGGAAGAAGAAGAAACCAAGGAGTCGGATCGTGAAAAAGAAGAGGAGGAACATGATTTCAGTAAGTACATAAGTTTGAATCAGTAAGTAAACAGATTTTCATTGGTTACAGTAAAAGTGTTATGTCTCTTTTTAACCAAAAATCTGATACGCTAGGTAAACTGCTTCATTTCGTTATAACATTTGATATGTCATCATCATTATCAGATCCCTTTCTGTGTAATGTGTCGTGAGAAATCCTATATTTTATGATCATGTCTCATTTGGACACTTTATGTAGGGCTAACGTAAGAGATATATGATAAGTGATGGATATTTAGAAACACTTGATAAAGAAGCTGCTTTCTACATCACAAGAGATACACTTAGGTAGATAAAGAAGCTGCTTTCTACATCACAAGAGATACACTTAAGTAGATAAATGGGAGACACAGGTGCCCCAGGGCTACCCGGAGAAAAACATTTGGTACCAATGAAAAACTTGCGGGCTTGATTATGAAGTTTTGATCTTTCGATATTGTTTGTTGTTTATAAAAATAACTATGTTATACACAAAAAACACCACTCAAGAATCTTTAAAAAAAAAAAGAGAAATTCGCAAAAATTAATTCAATTGCTAGATGACTTATGGTCCCCCAATGCTACTAGTGGTTGTAAAGGAGTTTGTCTGGTTGCCTTAGTTACTACCATAGCCACCATTTCAATCCCTTATTCACAGTTTCACCTATTATATGCATGTCAATCTTTTGTACACAAAGTGTCTCCCTCGACACCTCCATCGAAACTTTACGAGAAAAAGTTCAGTGACGAAGAAAGGGACATCCTGTCTATTGACTACGACTCGGATGAGGCGAGTTTCCTTGGTGATGAAGACGACGTCAGGTCTGTTATCAGGTACTGCCAGTAAAAAGAATTTTTCATTGACATTTATTTTTTGTGATTTTATTATAATTTTATATTACCTATTTTTCTGTTGAATTTTAGTAAAATTTTGGTATGATTTTTCTAAGATAACAATATATGATTTGATGTGCATTATTTTTACGGTAATCATATGCATCATTATATATTGCTCTGCATTGCCACTATTTAACACTATCAAAGCCAGTTCCATGGAGCGAGACCATAAAACAGATGTAGTGATGTCTCCAGGGGTCCGACTAACTATCGGATCACTATTCCCCACCGCACTAACGAGCAGATCAGCAAAATAAACACCACTACGATTAAATAATTTTCACTGTTTTATGTAAGAATTTAAAAAAATAAAATAAATGTAAATATAAGCATAAAACAGCATTCTGTTCTGTGTTATGGTCCCAATGCTTAAATATTGATATGCATCATATACAATTTGATATACGTTATAACATAATTTGTGTATTAGAATATAATTTTATATATAAATCAACCGGTGTATGTGTCATTGCTCCAGTGTTGTAGCTTTGGGGAGTGATGTCAATCTGCTGTGGTGTATTGTTAATTAAAAAATATGTCAACATATATACTTTTTCATATTCAATGACTTTGTTTGCAGCAAAAGATCAGTTTCCAAGAGAAGGTCTTTGGTTGCAGTCGAGTCTGAATTAGAGGCTGTTGAGAAATCGTCTGTAGCCATGCCGGCTATGGACCAGGCCAATGAATCGTCGATTGTCCATTCCAAAATACAGGTGAGGTAATCCTGTGAAATGTGTTTTATTGTAGGACTATCATAATACAGTAAATAATTGTACAATGAATGACAAAATTAAGTATACATTTTATAAGAGGCATCAAAAAGTCAGTTTTAAATCATAAATGTAAAATTTGATAATTTTACACATTTTACACAGAATCAGGACTGCCATCAACTAGCAAAAAGACATACTATTTACAGAACGACATAGAGGTCATTTCAATTTTTCACATGATCCTGCCGTCACAACTGCACACAGTTAAAATACTTAACGATGTATGCTATGCTACCTTACTGTGACATGGAGACTTAAGGATGTATGCTACCTTACTGTGACATGGAGACTTAAGGATGTATGCTACCTTACTGTGACATGGAGACTTGAGGGTGGTGTATGCTACTTTACTGTGTTACAAAGAGATAAGGATGTTTGCTACCTTGCTGTGACAAGTAGACTTAAGGATTTATGCTACCTTGCTGTGACAAGTAGACTTAAGAATGTGTGCTACCTTGCTGTGACAAGGAGACTTAAGGATGTGTGCTACCTTACTGTGTTACAAAGAGATAAGGATGTATGCTACCTTGCTGTTACAAAGAGATAAGGATGTATGCTACCTTGCTGTGACAAATAGACTTAAGGATGTATGCTACCTTGCTGTGTTACAAAGAGATAAGGATGTATGCTACCTTGCTGTTACAAAGAGATAAGGATGTATGCTACCTTGCTGTGACAAATAGACTTAAGGATGTATGCTACCTTGCTGTGTTACAAAGAGATAAGGATGTATGCTACCTTGCTGTTACAAAGAGATAAGGATGTATGCTACCTTGCTGTGACAAATAGACTTAAGGATGTATGCTACCTTGCTGTGTTACAAAGAGATAAGGATGTATGCTACCTTGCTGTTACAAAGAGATAAGGATGTATGCTACCTTGCTGTGACAAATAGACTTAAGGATGTATGCTACCTTGCTGTGTTACAAAGAGATAAGGATGTATGCTACCTTGCTGTGACAAGTAGACTTAATGATGTATGCTACCTTGCTGTGTTACAAAGAGATAAGGATGTATGCAACCTTACTGTGACATGGAGACTTTGTTATATAAGGACTCTCACACTAACATATCTGTTATGCACATTTATTTGGACATTTGATTCTGAATCACTAGACAATGGTAAGGCAAGTCAATCTTGCACAATTGACAGGTTTGTCTCCCACCCTTCACAGGTGTGTCTCCCATTTTAGCCAGGAAAGATCAGCTTGTCACCCCCTAGGGGGAGATAGCCTCCTGCCGATTAACACGTGCTCAATTGTGACGTCATTAAAATGTGTCACCGGTAATTGTGACGTCATCAAAAGTGAATGACGATATTCATACCCTACATGTCTTTTTGTTTACACTAGGCCACTTTCGGTGCAGCTGTGACTGAAATAATAGGATGGGAGAAAAACAATCATCCCATACCTCTGGGTGATTTATTTGGTTGTCTAACCCTTGGCAGAGCCTCGGGTTAGACAACCAAAAATCATCACCCCTCGGGTTGGAGATTTCTCTATCACACCCTCAAGGTAGGGGAAGATTCTATTAATCTTAGCTGTATTTCATTTTTAGCCCAATCTCCTATAAAGTAATTAACTGTCTTTACCTGATTCCAGTGCAATGTACCTTCTGCATTGACTCCAGCGGTGGTTTCCAGAGCAGCCAGCATCTTCTCATCATGGGGAGGATACTGCCACCACTTCCTGCTTTGTGGCAACTGTAGACGTGGAAATGCCTGCAGGTTCAAACACACCATACCCCCTTTAGTGAGTTGCTTCCCTTGGAACGAATAAGGGATGCTATTTTCAGTTCCAATGAGTCAGTCTTGTCAATAATTGTGAGAAAGTACTTATTTTATGTGAAAAAGAATTTCCTTCGTCACCTGAGAGGGTCTTAAGTTGACTTATTGTGATTGCCTTTACTTTGTTGTTGTGTATCATGTGTAGTTTGTCTGTAAACAGATCACATTCTCGACTTCTTCTGAACCACTGTTCCGATTCCGGTAAAACGTTTCAAGAAGCTTCCATGGTACCAAAAACAAATTGTGAATTACATGCTTCTCGCCCCCTAGAGGTCTGAGGGGTGTGTGAATTACATGCTTCTGGACCCCTAGGGGTCTGAGGGGTGTAATTCTTCTTGCCCTCGAGGTTCTGAGGGGTGTAATTCTTCTCGCCCCCAAAGGGTCTGAGAGTGGGTGAATTACATGCTTCCTGTCCCCTAGGGGACTGAGTGGTGTAATTCTTCTTGCCTCCTAGGGGTCTGAGGGGCGTAATTCTTCTCACCCCCTAGGGATCTGAGGGGTGTAATTCTTCTCGCCCCCTAGGGGTCTGAGGGGTGTGTGAATTTACATGATTCTCGTCCCCTTGGGGTCTGAGGGATGGGGCAAAAAGGTGTCAAATTGGTTGAAATGGTAATAATTTTCTTCTTCAGCAAATCCTCTTCATGTCTTTATGGTTAGAAAGGTCCTGAGGTGCCTTATCAAAATTGTGAATTTCATAACCCCAAGTTCACCCATTTGCCATTAGGGAGAGGGTAAATTTACCTTAAGTTTATGTAGGAAAATAAGACTTTTTGTTTTATTTTGTTAATTTCTAGGGGGAAATAATTCAAGCATGGTCAGAACTGTTATCATGTATTTGCAGTTTGATCGTATTAAAAGAAAAAAGATCCTGACTTGCACCTGGAGCTTAACGGGTAGGAGCAAAAACTGTTGAATGGATTAAAATTTCAACTATCTTCTTCAGACCTAAATGTGCAAGAATCAAATACTAAATGTGCGTGTGGGGCGGTAGTCTGTTTAACTTAGGAATAAGGAGTTTAGGTTAGTTATGGTCGGTCGTGTAATTCTGTAAAAAAAACTACCACTTTTATTTTACAAATGCTTCCTACAACTTCCCTTTGGTGATCATAATACAGATTCCATTGTAATTCCATGATAATCTGCTTGTTTAGTAAAGATTGGAGAAGGTTTGTACATGTATAGGTTTCGCCTGTTTTCTGAAAAGTAATTACTAGCTGTATTATATTTGTTGGTCACTCCCTAACACCATTTTATCAGCAGATCCACTGTCAAAAAGTTATGTTTGGTTTCTAAATGACTTTATATGGATTATTTCTCGACAATTTAGATGACCAGAACCATGACCTGATTTTCATATTTCAGGTTATACCACAGCATCTACTTAATATTGATTAGTGAAGTGTTGGGGTCAATCATCCTCGATACCAGGGGTTACGTTCAGTTTCACTCTCTACACCTCTGGAATATGTCATAGCAAAATTGGAGGCTCAGTGTACGCCACCTTGTTGACGAGACAAGAAGACTAGTTCGATCCTTTGATGTACATCAAAAGAGTCTCGCTGTCACATAGCGGTAAAAATTGACAGGCTTTGAAGACGGGCGTCTCTCCTTTGTAATCTTCAAAGGACAGGTATCAGCCTAGCAAATGGTCAGGTTTTTACCCGAGACCAATCAAAGAGCTATCTTTGTGCCTTTAATTTTGCTATGACATATTCCAGGGGTGTAGAGAGCGAAAGTGAACGTAACCCCTGGATATCGAGGATGGGGGTCACCATAAGAATTGTGTGGTTGTGGGTCTTCAACCTTCACATGCAGGAAGATCACGTGTCTACACCTAACAATTCACCTATCAAACATTTCTGAAGGATCCCTGTCCCCCTGTGCTGCGTTTTTTTTGGAGAACTATGTATGCTCCCCTTAACATCCATTTACATATATATATAACTGTAGCATATTTGGGATGGGATAATTCCGTGGAGCAGGTAGCTATACGTAGCTCAATTGGTGAGAGCGAAAGTACAGTGTATAACAATCTGAAGTCCAGAGGCCCGGTATAGCCCCACTGAAATTTTACACTCGGAACTGTTATTGATTGTATACTTTGTTTATTTCATCTTTATAATTTCCTGCAGAGTACGGTTTTCTGTATACGAATGATTTATCAGTCATAATCTTACCGGTAAAACAGTTTTTGTCAGTGGTACAGGGATCCTTAATGTATAATAAGAGGGCCCCGGGTATAATATTGATCTGAAGGTATTGGAATGGTGACATAATTTGTGTGATTTTGTAGGAGTGGTTCTTTCAGCAAGGCCAGGCCACAATACTGAATTCACGAAAGACACAGAACAAAGAAAGGTACTTTTTAAAGCTACTTGTTACAAACTGTCAATGTTCTTTTCCAATCATCTACTTTCCTTACCTACACATTATTTGCATTTGAACCAGGGACATAGAATTCTCATGAAGATGCAAGCAAACAAATTATGCAGAACTTTACAGTATTCTTTATATCTTAATTAATAATGAAATATTGCCTTGAACTGATCGGGAACCATTCTTTGTGATTGCCCCAACAAACGCACTTGCTTGGGGCAAGTAGGCCTGGATGATATTTATTGATAAATGTTACTTGCGTTCGGCTCTCGGCCTGAAACTGATGTTTCTGCATGTCAGACATTTTCATTTGTGTATACCTCATGAGATAGTAGAATATACAAAGCTTATAGCAGTTATAGCTTTTTAGGTCACCTGAGACAAAGTCTCAAGTGACCTATTGCGATCGCCTTTTGTCCGTCGTCGTCCGTCGTCCGTCCGTAAACAATTTACATTTTCAAAACCCCTAAACCAATTTCAATGAAATTTTGCAGAAACCTTCCATGGCCAAAGGTCAACTAAAATTGTGAATTATATGGTCCCCAGCCCCCAGGGGCCTGAGGGGCGGGGCCAAAAAGGGGAAAATTGACTAAAATTTCAAAAATCTTCTTCTCAAGATCCAGATATGTTAGAATCAAAAACTCTTCATAGATAGATGGGTCTTAAGGTGCTTTACCAAAATTGTGAATTTCATGACCCTGGGGTGTCAGGTTTCCCGCTGGGGAGGGGGTAAACTTTACAATAGTTTATATAGGGAAATCACATTTTGGACCAAAATTTGTTTAATTGCCATTGGAAGTAATTCAATTTGGGTTAGCATTATCAGTATTGGGTAGCAGGTTGATGGTATGCACATATGAGCCCTGACTGACCCCCCAGGGCTGATGGGTGGGGCCAAAAAGAGTTGAATTTACTGAAATTTCAAAAATCTTCTTCTCAAGACCCAGATATGGTAGAATCAAATACTCTTCATAGATGGAAGGNGGGGGGGGGGCAAAATTTGTTATGGTTTATAATGGCAAATGATACTTTGAATATTACATGTTGATAACTTGATTGGAATTATAACCCTAAGTTGACAGTTTGATACTTTGTAAATTTTGAGCCATCCCTACCCCCAAGGGCTGTAGGGTGGGGCCCAATGGAGTCTGTGTGTTAAAATAAAATTTCTTCATTTTCCTTGTTTAGAATCAGAGGTGCTAGTTTCAAATACTTTTCAGTCTTAAATCTGTATGCTAGATATTTAATAAGGTGGTTTTATTGTTTTTTGTCACTTTGAATAATATTTCTGTTCATGTTAAAAACAAAAAACAACTCTCTGTATAAATATATCAGGTGACCGTTAAGGCCCATGGGCCTCTTGTTTGAAAAAATGAGTGTTGTAGAATAACAGAGTTTTGTAGCCATTGTCACAGAATTTCAAATTAAAATAAGAATGAGACGAAAGCTTCAAGATTCAGCACTTTGAACCTATCACATGTAAAATGAGGTCATATTGGAGACTTGGAGTTAGTTACAATTCACAATTCTAAAAAAAAAAGTGACACATGAATATTTTTTAAGTAAATGTATGTTGTGCATATATCGTGAAAAAGTGTAATAACTCAACATGTTTATGTATTTGTGAAAATTTGAACACCAAAAAAATATGATACTTTTTACAAAGTGAAACTAATAGAATCTTGTCTCTCTGCACTATAACAGAGCATTTGAAGCTTACCAGCTGCTGAAGACGCTGAACGTTAGGCCAATCACGCGGGACGTTGTGGAAGTCCTGCTTCAATTGGCGGTGCATGTCTGGGACACGGATGCTGCATTCCAGCTGTTTGGAGACCTCAAATCTACAGACCTCATCAACAACATGTATGCATAAATACATTTCAGAAAGTAAAACCAATGTTTATAAACGTAACGATTCAAGGGTTGAAAGACAAACATGCTGTGAATATTGAACTTCATCAGGATTGGAGAATACCCAAGTGTTTAAGCAAAAATTTGAATTGAAAGTTTCAATAGGCTGGAATATCACCTTTGATGCCTTGGGGTATTAATGCTCACTTATTTTTCTGTGCACCCCTGGAATATGTCATAGCATAATTGAAGGCACGCCACTAGCTATTTGATTGGTCTCAATTAAAAAGGCATGCCTCTAGCTATTTGATTGGTCTCAATTAAAAAGACACGCCACTAGCTATTTGATTTGTCTCGGGGTTAAAAAAACCCAAGAAAAACCTGACCAATCACCAGGCTGACACCTGCCCTTTGAAGATAACAAAGGAGCAAGACCAGGGCCACATACGTTTATCACGATCCAAACGGTTGAACTGGTTGGACGGGAGTTGTTCATTATCAAATAAGGTTGGTCCTAGTAATCTGATGCTGCTTTCAGGCGAGCCTAGACAAAGCCTTGCAAGCCCTGCATGAACATTTGCAAGTCCGCCAGGATTTATACCCGAAAATGTTATATTTAAAACAGACAAACCGGTTGAACTGGATATGTGAAAGGGGCCCAGAATTCAAAGCCAGTCAATTCTACCATTACATGGCCACAAGATTCTTTTGATCTTTTGCTTTTACTATCAAGTTTAAAAACAACACCCTAACAAGTCAGTCTGAGTGTTGTTTTTATTGCCCAAAATATCCAATTTCGGTCTCCTCAATAGATAATGGTAAGCTAGGTAAACATGAAGAGCTCTCTTCCCAAATTACTCAGCATTTTCGACCTTCTTTCCGATATAGCCAGCCAGGTGATTCAGTGTACTTGGACCACTTGCAATGACATTTATTAAACTTTTAAAAAAACAAATCTGTTTTGCAGGACTTCATCGATGTTGGTGCGTCTTTGTAACAGTTCCCCCCAGAATTATACCGACCAACTGTGGGCGCTCTTCCAAGTAGTCACGGAGAAAAGTCTGAAGCTTAATGGTGCTTGTCTGGACACAGTTGTACAGTAAGAGACTTTTTGTTTTACAGCTTTTCTGATTTTGGATCAGGTGATGATTTTAAAATTACTTAACTTGAAATTTTTGTATAAAGCTAGTTTCTCATTTTGCCAAAAACTATTTGGAAAAAATCACAATTTTGCCTTTTAATGATCATATTTTCTGCATGAAGACTTAATCCCTTTTACATAAGAATAGGCCCTGCCAGTTACTAGGATAAAATTCAAAAGTTGTTTGATCTGTGCCTCATGGGTGTATTACGTTGTAGATTTGAAAGAAGTCTTATGTAAGTCTAATAAGTGACAGAAATAAACCACATGAGTTTAAGGGTTTATGCTACTTCACACCTGCCCTGCTAGAATGATTTCCCTTGAATTAGCATTAACATTGTCACGATGCCCTCACAGTCTTCTGTATGGAAATACTCGGAAACAGAATACTCAACAATTAAAATGATCAACATTTCAATAATTCAACAAATAAAGTTTTAAGTACTTTCACAACAGCTGCCTTGGCGAACCGGAAAAAATACAACCGTGATAACGATAGGTTGCCAGTATTAAGATACAAAAAGAATGCACCTAGTATACCTAATTACTGTATGTGACAGCCCACAAGATCTGTATCAAGTAATACCCGTCTACAACAACACACATTAAGTAATACACGAGTTTCGGTTTCCACCATACACTCACTGTGACTAGTGTACTATGATTTAAAGTACCAGTTTCAAAATAAAGTTAATGTTTCAATGATACACTGTAATAGTTAACAGTAACCACTGTGTAATGGTAAAGTTCTCCCTTCAGTTCCCTCGAGATGATGAGGCAAACATATAAAGTTAAAGGCCATACACATATGTCCATGTGAAGTATTTAGGCCACACAGTTATATTTCTCATCTAATAATACAAAATGCTATTGAAACATAACTTATAGTATATAGTCATGGAGAATATACAACACAGTCTAGAGTTCCAAGTCCCTGACTTTACTGATTTTGCACAGGAGATACGACGACAACATATGCTGCAACGGACAGTTGTGTGAAGTTCTGTGTGTCTAACTGGGAGTACTGGTGATCTGCTGAACAGCCTGATGAAGGTCAAGGTCCTCTATCGTGTGATGTTTTGAAGTCCACCCCATCCCTAGTGCCTGTCTATCTCAGCTGTACATATCGTTATCCATATCCTGGTCAGGCATCCCAACCGAGGCCTAAGCCCATGACTGACTGTGCCTATCAAACCAAACAAACACCCTATAACTATAATTGTCTCTCACAGTCTCCAATGTAAACAAACAGCGATAGCCCGCTTCCGGGTATCGTAAGTCGACTTCCGGTTTACAATATTAACCCTGCAATGTGTCCATCTAGCTGTCTGTTGTACTTGTCTAGATGATAACTTGAGAATGAATGATCATATGATGTTCAAACTTGATGTGTTTGTTGCCTAGTGGGTGCAAAATAACCCTATTGATTTGGGCATGGTCCGCTAGAGGTCAAGGTCACCATTGCTAAAAATAGAATTTTGTTTGATCAGGCTTGTCCAGAAAGTAACTTGAGAATGAATTATTGTACAGACTTCAAGCTTGGTGTGTGGTAATGCCCAGTGGATGTGAAGAAATGTTTTGATTTTGCAGATGGTCTGCCAGTGGTGAAGTCTCTCTCCTTGATAACTAGATCCTAGCTGCACTACCAGAGGAGCTATATGTTTGTCTGTCATTGAGTTCCTCAGTATCTCACTTTGTTTGCAGCATATTTTGTGTACTCCTTGTAATACAATTGCCATATTTTGTGTGTGAGTACCTCTGTGGACATCCATAATACTCCAGGAGTCACGCTCACTTTCCCTCTCTGCACCACTGGAATATCTCGGCAAAATTGAAGGCTAGGTATTTGATTGGTCTCAGGAAAAAGAACCTGACCACTCACTAAGGCTGATACCTGTCCATTGAAGATTACAAAGAAACACCACCGGACTTCGAAGAGGGTCAATTTTACCGTTACGCGATCAAGGGCTTCATTTGATGTACATCAAATGATCAGACTAGTCTTCTTCTTTCATCCACAAGGTGAAGCACATTGAGCCTTCAATTTTGCTATGAAAAATTCCAGGGTTACAGAGAGCATAACCCCTGGAGTATCAAGGATGCTTTCAAAGATGTTTGAAATAAATTAACAAAAGTTTATAGGTTTCTTTGTGCAGAACTCTTTAGCGTAGGAATCAGTTAGGAGATGCGTATTTGACTTAAGTAACATACAGCCTTAAGTTGTTTTTTGTTTTGCAGGGCATTCAGTGTGAGGCGAGAATACACGAAACTGTGGGAGGTGTTACTCTATTGTAACAGTATCCCGTACTATGTGGTGCCCATGCAGGTGCTACATGTGCTTCTGTTCACGTGCATAAAGTCCCCTGAAGAGTACCTGCCTGCCATCACTAAGTGGGCGGAAACCTGTAACCATGATCTGCTTCATCAACTGGAACATAAAGTAAATACTCCTCTAGACATTCTTAAGCTAGTTTCATAGGAAGCACGGTAGTCTAGTGGTAGGACGCCGGGCTCGTGACCGAAGGGTTGCGGGTTGGAGTCACGGCACGGCACTGTGTTGTATCTTTGAGCAGGATACTTTACTCCGCTTGTTCCAGTCTACTCAGCTGTAAATGAGTAGGTGGTTGGGAAATGCTAGCTGTAAGCGCCGAAATGGCAGCACCGGCTGTATGCTCCCCAGGGAGTTGCAAAAGATATTGGCTGGTTGCAAAGGCCCTATAACCACGGATATTTGTGAATCCCATTGAGACGACCTACAAACTAGGTTGTGATAAAGCGGTACTCAAATTATTATTATTATTATTTATTCATTAATAATACATTCCAACATGAAATAGGGTGACTAAATACTTCTCTAGACTTTCTTAAACTAGTTTTATCAATAGGATTGAACAGCAGGCTAGGCTAAGTTCTCTCCTTAGGTTGACATGACAAAGACAGTAATGAAACAATTGATCAGAAAATACTGATCTTTTATTCTAATACATGTACATATTTGATTAATATAGGCAGTTGCTGACTTGCTGGCAAGAGTAGTCTGCTATATTGATGAACTTTGAACTAACTGTTTTCCTGAATATTTATGGGCTATATATAGCAAAGCAGTTACATATATATACTACTACAGCTGCATACAAACACTCAACCAGCTACTTTTTTCTAAACAATCACCTGTTTCCAAACTTAGTGAGAACACTGCAAACATCGTATAAGTTCAATTAAAATCAATTAGTAATAGACAATCAATGCCCTAATGATACTTTAAACAGAAGAATTGCTACAATCTTCGTTAAAAACATAAAACCATGAAGCATCCGTATGTATCCATTGGTTGGAGTGATCACAAAGCTCTTCATTTTCAGTGAGATATGATTTAAGCCTGGTTGGCATCATCACCATGTGATTACAATTTAATTGTTTGAAGATTAAGACCCTAACTTCCCCTAGTGTCTGGGGAGCAAGGCCAAAACCTAAGCCCTCATTCAATTTCCCTGATAAACAAATCTCCTTCAATCATTTTTGGGAGCACAATTTATATGTTATATAAAAGAACCCCTATCTCATTTAAACTTTACCTGAGAATGCAAAAAAATCTTTAGAATGCCCTTATTTAATATAAAGTTACATTTTCGATGCATATTCAAAACAGAATATTTATAAAATGGCAATTTTTCCTCAGAAATTTGAGAAAGAGGTGTGTTAAATATTTTCAAAAAAAAAATATGACACAAGTTGCAGACTTATTTACAATTAAAGAAGGCTCAAATACACAAGGTCATAACCTTAAAATATATGAAGAGTATTTGAGGTTGAATATTAGAAAATATTCCTTCACACAAATTACTGTTGACATATAGAACAACCTTCTGCCAGTGACAGTTTTAAAATAGTATTGCACTGCTCCTTTAGAATCATAAATTAACTAGTTGATGTTGTTAGACAATAATTTTAAATGGTTTGTTTGATCTGCTGTAGATCCTGCTGGAGCTTTATGATATCTCTGTGAAGTACAACAGCAGGGTTCTAAGTTCCCTGTTGGAGCAGCTTACCGCCACCCAGCTGCCAGAAACCCAGGTAAGATTCTAACTAACAGCCACCTAGCTACCAGAAACCCAGGTAAGATTCTAACTAACAGCTACCTAGCTACCAGAAACCCAGGTAAGATTCTAACTAACAGCCACCCAGCTGCCAGAAACCCAGGTAAGATTCTAACTAACAGCCACCTAGCTACCAGAAACCCAGGTAAGATTCCAACTTACAGCCACCTAGCTTCCAGAAACCAAGGAAAGATTCTAACTAACAGCCACCTAGCTACTAGAAACCAAGGTAAGATTCTAACTAACAGCCACCCAGCTGCCAGAAACCCAGGTAAGATTCTAACTAACAGCCACCTAGCTACCAGAAACCAGGTAAGATTCCAACTAACATCCACCTAGCTACAAGAAACCCAGGTAAGATTCCAACGAACTGCCACCCAGCTACAAGAAACCCAGGTAAGATTCCAACGAACTGCCACCCAGCTACCAGAAACCCAGGTAAGATACCAACAAACAGCCACCCAGCTACCAGAAACCTAGGTAAGATACCAACAAACAGCCACCCAGCTACCAGAAACCTAGGTAAGATACCAACAAACAGCCACCCAGCTACAAGAAACCCAGGTAAGATTCCAACCAACCGCCACCCAGCTACCAGAAACCCAGGTAAGATTCCAACAAACAGCCATAAATACACAGAATATCAATATTCGAGTCTAATTTCAGTAGTACTCTGCCAGATTCTGTGGAAACTTCAGGAATCTTTTTGGCAGAAGAAAAATAATACATGTGTAAATGTACCATGGAAGTTTATTACCTTGACCTCTGTGACGAGGCTATTGCTCTCCAGTGTTGTAGTGGGGCATTTATTTTGTTCAGACCCATTTCTAGTTTCTTGATGGTGGCAAGCCCACAGGGGAAAAGCATGGTGCGATCCTTTCTCAATACTCCCAGGGGTAACGCTCGCTGCACTCTGGAGTATGTAACGCTCGCTGCACTCTGGAGTATGTAATGGTCACTGCACTCTGGAGTATGTAATGGTCACTGCACTCCAGAGTATGTAATGGTCACTGCACTCCGGAGTATGTAACGCTCGCTGCACTCTGGAGTATGTAACGCTCGCTGCGATCTGGAGTATGTAACGCTCGCTGCAATCTGGAGTATGTAACGCTCGCTGCGATCTGGAGTATGTCATGACATTATCGAAGATGTTCATGCCACTTTGTGCATTTGATGTACATCAAAAGGATTGCAAGGGAGTGTCACAGTAAAACTGACTGACTTGGAAGTCTGGTGTCTCTCTTCTGTTTGTACATCTTCTGTTAGTACCATCTTCAAATGATGGGTATTAACCAAGTGATTGGTCAGGTATATCTGAGACCAATCAAATAGCTATCGTCATGCTGTCAATTTTGCCATGAGATATTCAAGGGGTACAGAAAGTGTAAGTGAGCGTAACCCCTGGGGTAAAAAGATGGGTGCCGTTGAAGGAAGAACAACTAATCCTATCTGACATCACTCCTTTTGTCTGCAACCACTAGAAGACTGAAATGTGTGAGTGGTTTGAGGGTTCTGCTTATCTACTTAATGTAGTATTGATTGTCTACCTTATAAAACCGCCTTGTTAAGTCGTTGCTCTTGGTGTTTTCAGGGAGAGCTTCCAGAGACCACAGACATACTAGGAGAGCAGGACTGGAATGGGGACAACGTCGACGAGGGTCCAGTCACAAGTTCAGACGAATACAAAGGACGTCAACACAGAATACGGGTATGTGATGTTGTGCATCCAGGTATTATTTCTGTCTCCTCGCCATGAAGTAGCGGAAGCGAGACTAAGGTGTTGTTTTTCCTGCAGCCGCGAAGTAGCGGAAGCAAGACTAAGTTGTTGCTTTTACGGCGACGGCGGTGTCAACATTAAGTTTTTGCATTTAAGTTAGTTTCACTGAAAGTATAAATGCTAGACTAACCAAACTTGGTCCATAGATGCATCTTCGGTAGTACATCTCAACCAATGCATCACATGCAGGATGCGGCCCCTTTCTTGGTCCATTGACTTTGTCAGCATCTCTATCAAAATGAAGTTTTTGCGTTTAAGTAAGTTTCTCTGATATGTGTGTATTGATGGACATAGCGGGGCACAGTTTACTTTTCCTTTAAAATACTACTTGTCCTAAATGGCCAAGTAGATTTTGACAAAATTTGGTCTTGAGCATCCTTAGGCAAAGGGGACTCAATTTTGTATAAACAGTGGGTGTGGACCCCCTAGGGTCAGAGTAGCGGGGGCCCAATATTGGAAATAGAGGTAAAACCTTTAAAATCCTTCTTCTACCGTAGGGATTAAGGGATTTTGCCCTAATTTGGTCTGGAGCATTCTTAGGCCAAGGTGACTCAATTTTGTATAAATGGTGGGTGTGGCCCCTGGGGCAGAGGGACGGGCCCTATAGGAGAAATTGAGGTAAAACCTTTAAAATCCTTCTTCTACCATAAGATTAAGGGATTTTATCCCAATTTGATCTGGAGCATCCTTGGGCCAAGGGGACTAAATTTTGTATAAACGAAAGGTGAGGCCCCTCTGGGTGCTGAGAGTTGTGGGGCCCAATATTGAAATTCAAGTTTTAAATCTTAAAAATCTTTCTTCTTCTGTACTATTGGAGGGATTTTATATATGTAATAAGAATTATTTGCTTATTATCCAGGTGAGCGATACTTGCCCTCTGGCCCTCTTGTTTATGGAGTTTTACCCCCTTTGTTAAAAATCTTTGTCCGGACAACTCCTCCTAAACTAATGGGCCGATTTCAATGAAAGTTTACAGATATGGTAACTAACCCCTGAAGTTGTGCATCCAAGTAGTATTTTTTCATTCCGTTAGATTTACGTCATATTGAAGTTGTGCACCCGGGTATAACTTATTCATTTTGTTTTAATTTATTCCCTTCATGCTAATTATGGGATGCAGGGGTATCTTTGTTACCCTCTGGATAACGGTTCTAATTTGAACTGGCCTTCCTTTGGTGCCAACAGCATTATGGCTTCAAGGTGTATTTAATGTCTGCAAATGCCTGTGTTGTGTTGATGGGCCATTAACCATAAGAAACCAAGCTTGTTCAATTAATTATAATGAAATACATGTATAATTAAGTCAGGCTAAAATAATTCATTGAAAGTTTCCGATAGAAAATCTCAAATTTGCGTGTATTTTATTTGAGGAAAAAATGATCAATTTCTTTATCACTTAATATTTTAAACTGAAGATTCATTTGTGTTTGTGTATACTTGAAGGGATGCAAATTAACAAAGAATTGGGAACATCTTGGATCTATCTTTGTGGAGCTGTGCTGCGACCTTGAACTAAGCAACCCCCACTATATCCAGGAGTACATCTACGTTCTAACAGACACCGTGAAACCAGTGTCAATGGCTCAGAACTTCAAGCTCTTTCTACAGGCCATACATAAAGGTGCATAGAACAAAATTCAGGGGTCTCAGAATCATCCACTATAGCACTGTCCTTGGAACAAAGTGGGAAGGTTTTCAGAACTGTCATGGTAAAACTACTCAGAACAGAAACAATTACTTCTCTCCAGATAAAATATAAACTTTATATATTTTACAACAACAAAAAAATGAAAAAAGTTATTACTAGTTTAGTTATATTAATCACTTATCAGATAGACTAGAACAATGTATCTTCAAAATTTTTATAACGATCTGCGGATAACAAAAGCTTTTTGGTCTTCATACAATCATTGAAAATCCAAAAACATTATAGTTATGAATCTTAATATTTTTGGCCAAATTGCAACTTCCTGAGGGGAAGCCCAATCGTCGGTCTGCACTGTGGTAAGGAGAATGGTTCAGTTAACAAGTTGTTATAGCTACTTGTCCTACGTCAGCTAAACTCGTACCATATGATGATTAGCACATGTGATGGGTCGGTCAGATGCTGGGTCTGGCCAATATTTCCCTCTTGAGTGACATTGTAAGTAAGATTTGTTAAGATCATGTCCGATATTGTAGACCAATGTTTCCCTCTTGAGTGACATTGTAATAAGATTTGTTAAGATCAGGTCTGATATTGTAGACCAATGTTTCCCTCTTGAGTGACATTGTAAATAAGTTTTGTTGCGATCAGGTCCAATATAATTGTTTCAGAGCTAGAGACAAAGTTGACAGATAATATGGATGTTTTGGATGAGCCGTCCCTGGCGCGTATTGGTGCAGGCCTGCTAGGTTGGTGTTACCAGGAGGGACTATGGGAGGAGGGCTATCACCTGCTGTTTGTGATGCATCAGACAAGAGTCTACTACCACAAGTGTACAGGCCATGGAGCCATTGGCACAGCCCTTATCGCCATGGAGATCTGTCTCAACACCCTCAGACCAGAGAGTGCTCTGCAGATCCTACAACGTAAGCTGTCTAATACCTACTATTGGGTCGGTTTAGGTTTACTGTTGCCTTTTGGGGCAACAGCATGCCCGTCATGATGGTGATCATGATAGGCTTATAACTACATGGAAATAATTATTGTATTAACTCCTTCACCCTTGTTTCATAATGAACTATTCCAACCTTTGAATTGGGAGAGTTCAAATGTGTCTTTGGGAAAGCGCCACCTCTAAAAATCTTTAAATTTAATACTATAAAAGAGGACATTTTAGAAGGTGGAAATGTTCACGTTGTGACTCTTCAATCTGTTCGTGGTGTGGAAATATTTGCATTGGGCAATTGTTCTGAACTCAACATATTCTATCCATCTTTAATATTTATATAATTTTTCACATGCTGATATTTTTGTGCTTATTAACATAACATGAAAAATGCAAGCATTTCACGCCACAAAAAAATCCACTTTTACAATATATGAAATCACTGCTCTGAATAAATGAAAATTGTCTTTGACTATTTTACATTTAAATCCGTAACTGATATATTTTGTAGATCTTCAATCATTTAAGTGCAGCAATCGAAGCACTTTGTAATTGATAATTAGGGGACTAAACTAAATGTAATTGTTACATTTATATAGTGGGCCCCATGAGTAAAAGAATTGTCAGTCACTTAAAGGTGCCTCTCTGCTCTCTATGGTCATGTGTTTATTTCCATGGTAGGTACTGATATAACAAATTTGAGTAGATTTCCATCTCTAGCTGTAAGTATTGCAAGTAGATGATGATATCAATTTTTTTAAATTTTACTGTGTCCAAATGATAAATTGATCCAATGTATAATGGTGGAATATTGTTACAATTTATTGCAGGTTCCAAAGGACTGATTACAACCACAGAGAATGGAGCAAATGTCACGAGGATTTTGGAGATCTTGTTTGATAAATTGTTGGAAAAATCGTTAACGAAGATGGCTTTCTCTGTTCTTGTTATAATCATAGAAAAACGAGGTAAAATAAACGAAGAATTAATTTCAGAAAATGAATCGTCATTTCTCCTCCCCCTTACTGTCTGTGATCCCATTGGTAAATCTCTGTTAATAGTGTGATAGGTTGTTGTATCGTCATTTCTCCTCCCCCTTACCGGGATCCCATTGGCAAATCTCTGTTAATAGTGTGATAGGTTGTTGCATCGTCATTTCTCCTCCCCCTTACTGTGATCCCATTGGCAAATCTCTGTTAATAGTGTGATAGGTTGTTGCATCGTCATTTATCCTCCCCCTTACTGTGATCCCATTGGCAAATCTCTGTTAATAGTGGGATAGGTTGTTGTATCGTCATTTCTCCTCCCCCTTGCTGTGATCCCATTGGTAAATCTCTGTTAATAATGTGATAGGTTGTTGTATCGTCATTTCTCCTCCCCTTACTGTGATCCCATTGGCAAATCTCTGTTAATAGTGGGATAGGTTGTTGTATCGTCATTTCTCCTCCCCCTTGCTGTGATCCCATTGGTAAATCTCTGTTAATAATGTGATAGGTTGTTGTATCGTCATTTCTCCTCCCCCTTACTGTGATCCCATTGGCCAATCTCTGTTAATAGTGTGATAGGTTGTTGTATTGTCATTTCTCCTCCCCCTTACTGTGATCCCATTGGCCAATCTCTGTTAATAGTGTGATAGGTTGTTGTATCGTCATTTCTCCTCCCCCTTACCGTGATCCCATTGGCAAATCTCTGTTAATAGTGTGATAGGTTGTTGTATGGCCATTTCTCCTCCACCTTACTGTGATCCCATTGGTAAATCTCTGTTGATAGTGTGATAGGGTGTGGTATCGTCATTTCTCCTCCCCCTTACTGTGATCCCATTGGTAAATCTCTGTTCATAGTGTGATAGGTTGTTGTATCGTCATTTCTCCTCCCCCTTACCGGGATCCCATTGGCAAATCTCTGTTAATAGTGTGATAGGTTGTTGCATCGTCATTTCTCCTCCCCCTTACTGTGATCCCATTGGCCAATCTCTGTTAATAGTGTGATAGGTTGTTGTATTGTCATTTCTCCTCCCCCTTACTGTGATCCCATTGGCCAATCTCTGTTAATAGTGTGATAGGTTGTTGTATTGTCATTTCTCCTCCCCCTTACTGTGATCCCATTGGCCAATCTCTGTTAATAGTGTGATAGGTTGTTGTATGGTCATTTCTCCTCCACCTTACTGTGATCCCATTGGTAAATCTCTGTTGATAGTGTGATAGGGTGTGGTATCGTCATTTCTCCTCCCCCTTACTGTGATCCCATTGGCAAATCTCTGTTAATAGTGGGATAGGTTGTTGTATCGTCATTTCTCCTCCCCCTTACCGTGCTCCCATTGGAAAATCTCTGTTAATAGTGTGATAGGTTGTTGTATGGCCATTTCTCCTCCACCTTACTGTGATCCCATTGGTAAATCTCTGTTAATAATGTGATAGGTTGTTGTATCGTCATTTCTCCTCCCCCTTACTGTGATCCCATTGGTAAATCTCTGTTAATAGTCTGATAGGTTGTTGTATCGTCATACCTGCCCAATGTCCCTGTTCTGGAAGGAGACTCCAAACTTTTCATTTTTTTTAAATTGTTTAAATCAAAAGAATGCTCTACATCGTGATGTTGTTCAAGTTTAATAAGTTAATTGCACAAATTGCTTGTACTATGGTGAGAAACTTTGGGTATTGTAATATTTGACGATTTGGCACTGAAAGTAGAAAGTAGATATTTGGCATAAGCTCCGGACATTTAAATTTATGTTTCAAGTGTAGTATCACTGTCCCTTGTTTACAGTTCATCTGTCTGTTCCTATTATGGACTTCAGACAAACTTTGGGTGCACTTGCATTTTGGTGATACAGAGTTTTGAAGATGAATTCAACTTCTGTGTATTTAGGTTACAACTTCATCATCGTTTCTGCGTGGTTGATGCATTTCAGACCATAACATAGCTAAATAGTGGTGGTATTTCAGTAACATTTGTATTGTTCATATGATGACAATATGCAGACCAAGTTCGATGATGAATGGAATGAGAATATATAAATATATATATAAAGAAAAGATCGTAACAACACGTCTTTAGCTCTTTCATCTCATCAAGGAGATTCTTCAGACTGTATTTTTGAAGGAGAAATTATGATGTCGTAAACTATCACATAATAGTTCGCTATTTGTGTACCCCCATAGCAATATCTTAGCAATAGAAATACATAATGATGGTCATAAGGTAAAGAATACTATTGGTTTTAGAATTGCTGTACTATTATTACTTTTATTTATGTATCAATTATTGAGAGAGAGAAAAAAAACTTTCCCTGTGTGGGGTTACTCTGGACCATTACATTACTGATCCGATATCTAATTAGTATGTTGCAGGCACTTACAGTTGGTTTTCCCCTTTCAGCCTTTACATGTATTTCTATTTTGGATTGATTTTCACCAAGTTGGGTGTGTTTGTATGATATGATGGCAATCCCCAGACTGTTTGACTGGGCGCTGTGTATTAGGAATGAGGTCACACATAGTTCTGATTAGTTCTGATAGCTAGGTTGTCATTGGACAATGTTTCCTATTTGTGCAAAGGTTTTCACAAATTTTAGTTAATGGTTAAATGTACAATTTTAATATTCATTAGAAGATTTAATGATGGTGCATATTCTGATTGGTGGACATTTTGTAGACTGCATAATTATATGATCACGTAATTTGGCGTCAATTTCACAAATTTACATTATTTCCCTATATTGCCTGTATTTATTTTCGTCAGTATCTCCCTTGGTATCCTTAGTGGAATGTCGTGCTGATGTTGCTAGGCTGAATGTCGTGCTGATGTTGCTAGGTGGAATGTCGTGTCGATGTTGCTAGGTGGAATGTCGTGCTGATGTTGCTAGGTGGAGTGTTGTGTCGATGTTGCTAGGTGGAATGTCGTGCTGATGTTCCTAGGTGGAATGTCGTGCTGATGTTGCTAGGTGGAATGTTGTGCTGGTGTTGCTAGGTGGAATGTTGTGTCGATGTTGCTAGGTGGAATGTCGTGCTGATGTTGCTAGGTGGAATGTCGTGCTGATGTTGCTAGGTGGAATGTCTTGTCGATGTTGCTAGGTGGAATGTCGTGTCGATGTTGCTAGGTGGAATGTTGTGTCGATGTTGCTAGGTGGAATGTCGTGTCGATGTTGCTAGGTGGAATGTCGTGCTGGTGTTGCTAGGTGGAATGTCATGCTGATGTTGCTAGGTGGAATGTTGTGTCCATGTTGCTCGGTGGAATGTCGTGCTGATGTTGCTAGGTGGAATGTTGTGTCCATGTTGCTCGGAGGAATGTCATGTTGATGTTGCTAGGTGGAATGTCGTGCCGATGTTGCTAGGTGGAATGTTGTGTCCATGTTGCTAGGTGGAATGTCATGTTGATGTTGCTAGGTGGAATGTCGTGCCGATGTTGCTAGGTGGAATGTTGTGTCCATGTTGCTAGGTGGAATGTCATGTTGATGTTGCTAGGTGGAATGTCGTGCCGATGTTGCTAGGTGGAATGTTGTGTCCATGTTGCTCGGGGGAATGTCATGTTGATGTTGCTAGGTGGAATGTCGTGTCGATGTTGGTAGGTGGAATGTCGTGTCGATGTTGCTAGGTGGAGTGTCGTGTCGATGTTTCTAGGTGGAATGTTGTGCTGATGTTTCTAGGTGGAATGTTGTGCTGATGTTTCTAGGTGGAATGTCGTGCTGATGTTGCTAGGTGGAGTGTCGTGTCAATGTTTCTAGGTGGAATGTTGTGCTGATGTTTCTAGGTGGAATGTTGTGCTGATGTTGCTAGGTGGAATGTCGTGTCGATGTTTCTAGGTGGAATGTTGTGCTGATGTTTCTAGGAGGTATGTTGTGCTGATGTTGCTAGGTGGAGTGTCGTGTCGATGTTTCTAGGGGGAATGTTGTGCTGATGTTTCTAGGTGGAATGTCGTGCTGATGTTGCTAGGTGGAGTGTCGTGTCAATGTTTCTAGGTGGAATGTTGTGCTGACGTTTCTAGGTGGAATGTTGTGCTGATGTTGCTGGGTGGAGTGTCGTGTCGATGTTGCTAGGTGGAATGTTGTGCTGATTTTGCTAGGTGGAGTGTCGTGTCGATGTTTCTAGGTGGAATGTTGTGCTGATGTTTCTAGGTGGAATGTTGTGCTGATGTTGCTAGGTGGAGTGTCGTGTCGATGTTGCTAGGTGGAATGTCGTGCTGATGTTGCTAGGTGGAATGTCGTGCTAAGTCCAGGCTTTGACACAGTGATGGCTTGTTAAGTGTCCTGTAGTAACCCCATCCACTGAAGACACCTGTCATATGACCTTAGGTGTTGTTTGGTCCCATTATTAGTCAATACTCTTGTTGTATATTAAGATTGTAAATGTACATATTTTATTTTACAATATTTGCTCAGTTTTGAAATGTGACTTTAAATAGACAGAATACTGTAGGCTTAATAAAAAGGTCAGTTATGAATTTTCTATATGCAAGGCAGACAGTTTTGTAACTCTATCAAGACTAGTAGGGAAAAAAATCTAAAGTAACTTCCAAACAATCTTTAATATCTCCTTCTCTTCCATTTCAGAACAAGATCAAACTCAGACAGGTATGTTTTGTCATTTTGATACCAGAATGTTTAGGTTCTTAACATTATAGTACCACACCAACAGAGGTCAAAGTTAACATTACAATACCCCACCTACAGAGGACAAAGTTAACATTACAATACCCCACCTACAGAGGTCAAAGTTAACATTACAATATCCCACCTACAGAGGTCAAAGTTAACATTACAATACCCCACCAACAGAGGTCAAAGTTACCAGTACAATATCCCACCTACAGAGGACAAAGTTAACATTACAATACCCCACCAACAGAGGTCAAAGTTAATATTACAATATCCCACCTACAGAGGTCAAAGTTAACATGACAATAACCTAACTACAGAGGTCAAAGGTAACATTACAATACCCCACCAACAGAGGTCAAAGTTTAGTTTTGGATGGATTTGAGGGAACAAGTCTATGCCACAATATATTGACAAAACAATTCACTTTTATACCATGTCACATGTTTCCAGAACTGGTCTACCTAGCATGCTCCTGTTTTTTGTTGCAAAAGGAATCTATGTTCAATGTTAATGGTGTTAGATGTTTTTGTTATAATAATCTTCTTGTCATTAATGCACAGATTAACTGGATGTTTTAACTGATTGGTGTTGTCATTGATTTCTTAGACTGAACTTAGATGTTTCACCTGTCTTGTCATTTATTTCACAGACTTATCTGGACATTTCAACTGCCTCGTGCGGAAATCGCTGGCTACAGGTGACATACACACTGCTTTCGGAGTGTACAAAGTCCAAAAGGAGACTGACAGTGGCAAACTGGACATGCTTGGCTTGCGCGGGCTTCTCACAGCTTGTGGTAAACACAGGTTCGATAACAAATATATCAAGGAGGTGTACGAGTCCTGTGTCATGCGTAAGCTCTACCCCCCACAGATCTTGGACACCCCCCGATCGGTTGTGCTGTCGTGCATGATGACACCCGTAGAAATGTATTTGTATATCAGTGATTACCTGAATGCCCTGTACAACACTCTCTGTGAATGTGTAATGGACGGTACACATCTGACAATGGAAAACTTCTGTCTGACTGTACGGGTCTGGTGGGAAGAGAACCCGCTGCAGCAGAAAGACTTTCCATACCTATCTCTGGCTCCACAGACACAACAGGAGGTGTGGCCCATGGCGCTGTACGTTCTAAACAAGAACATCAACCCTCCTCTACAGGCCGAGTACAACCAGAACACTGGCTGTATCCGTGTCAATCCTGAATCCTTGTACAGCTATCTTCAGGAGAAAGACAGGAACGGTAAGATGGACTTCACTTAATGACCGTTAATCAAAGATATATTGTTTGAAGAATGATATATTGTTTGATCAAAGATATATTGTTTGAAGAATGATATATTGTTTGATCAATAATATATTGTTTGAAGAATGATATATTGTTTGATCAATAATATATTGTTTGAAGAATGATATATTGTTTGATCAATAATATATTGTTTGAAGAATGATATATTGTTTGATCAATAATATATTGTTTGAAGAATGATATATTGTTTGATCAATAATATATTGTTTGAAGAATGATATATTGTTTGATCAATAATATATTGTTTGACGAATGATATATTGTTTGATCAATAATATATTGTAAGTACCTGTACAGCTATATTAATGAAAAAGGTAAGAACGGTAAGATGGACTTCACTTAAAGACGGTTGATCAATGATATACTGTTTGTCAATAATATATTGTAAGTACCTGTACAGCTATCTTGAGGAAAAAGGTAGGAACTATAAGATGGACTTCACTTAAAGATGGTTGATGATATATTGTTTGTCAATAATATATTGTAAGTACATGTACAGCTATATTAAGGGAAAAGGTAGGAATGGTAAAATGTCTGTCAGTGTTTTTTCTCCGGGACTTTCCTCCACCAACAAAATCTGGCACGCCGTTAAATGACCATAGCTGCAATCTGATTAAAATCATATGTTACATGGCTTCGTTAACTTCGTACTACGCCTGAACATCTGAGTGTGCCGCGGTCAGGGTCACGTTCAGGTGACCTTTATATTAATAAATACTCATTTAAATTTTGACCAATCAGAAACCCTCTTTCAAAAGGGCGCTCGGAGTTGTAACAAATATGGCAGACATTGATGGGAATAATGCGAAAGTTCTGAAGTTATTTGAGATTGATCGTCTGAAACCCCAACAGAAAAAAATATTCGAAGCTTTATTAGAGAAGAAAGACTGTATGGCGGTGTTGCCTACGCAATTATTACCCAATGGGTACATTTTCCTTGGCGTCGTAGAAACGTCAGTTCCCGCCGCCATATTTGTTTGGAAAACTAATCTGTTCAATACCCCTCGCTATTTATCTATAAACCATGCTATTCCGATTCGCTGGCAAACTTTTGCCAGTGCGCCTCTGATTGGTTCATCTAAAGGTCACTTGAACGTGACCCTGACCGCGGCACATTCAGATGTTCAGGCGGAGCCATGTAACAGATGATTTTAATCAGATTGCCATAGCTGTTAATAGGACGTAAAACACAAACAAACACAAACCCATAATTGATTTTTCTGTTTGATCAATGATATATTGTAAGTTCCTGTATAGCTAGCTATCTATAGGGAAAAGATGGGAATGGCAAGCACAGATTATAACATCTGTACATCTTAATCCTAATATTTTTTAATGAATAAAAAAAATGTAAATTAAATTAAACAAGTTTAATACAGTAGATTTGCTTTGCTTTGAGAGCTGAAATATCACTCCCAAGGAATGACTTTTGCCATTCCTGGAATGAAGATTGATCTAAAAAATATCTAGTTTTAAAAGTAGTTATTTTCTCATGAAAAGATCATCTACTCGCTCACTATATAACTGTAATACAAAAATAATGTCTCTGTCTACGAAGTATCATACTAAATCACTATATAACTGTTATAGTCAACTTAGAAATTAATGTCCGTCTACCAAGTATCATACTCGCTCACTAATTAATGTCCGTCTACCAAGTATCATACTCGCTCACTATATAACTGTTATAGTCAAAATAGAAATTAATACAACGGAATAAAGCCTTCAGTCTTGATGTATGTGTGTTTTCATTGTTCTAGTGAATTCCTTTCTGAAAGGATTAGGATTAAACTTCATGGATGATCATGCATGAGAATGCATTGGGAAATTTTGTGTTTCAGTGAGTCAAGTTCACTATTACTTTTAAATGATTATTTTCTGCGTTGCTCTAGCAACAGTCGTTGACACTTTGCTTCTGTTACAGGGAGAAAGCAGGGCCTACATATACAGACTGCTCAGACAGGTGCTGGGGGGCCTGCCAAGATGAGAGGTAGGGCATGGGCACGTCCACAAAACTTTTCCAATCGTGGGCGGGGCCGACCATACAGGTGATAAACCTCTAGCCCAGGAAGGGGGCTGTAGTTTATTTGATCAATGCCTGATGGCGTAAGGCAGCCCTAGGACAGGTGTTGCTTAATAGACGGTACTTGTTGGACCACAAGTCTGTGATGGTGTATCCTTGTCTAAGGTAACAAGGCAATCATACTTAACTCTACATTTCCCTGGGCTAGGCTGTGAGCTGTCACATACTAACTATCAAAGATAGAGGACAGCTACTATGTGTTACTGGGCCAGGAATGAAGGAGTTGCACAGCAAGTTGATACATAATGATAGAGGATAGCTACTATGCGTTACTGGGCCAGGAATGAAGGAGTTGCACAGCAAGGTGATACACAATGATAGAGGATAGTTACTATGTGTTACTGGGCCAGGGATGAAGGAGTTGCACAGCAAGTGGATACATAATGATAGAGGACAGCTCCTATGTGTTACTGGGCCAGGAATGAAGGAGTTGGACAGCAAGGTGATACACTATGATAGAGGAAAGTTACTATGTGTTACTGGGCCAGGAATGAAGGAGTTGTACAGCAAGGTGATACATAATGATAGAGGATAGCTACTATGTGTTACTGGGCCAGGAATGAAGGAGTTGTACAGCAAGTGGATACATAATGATAGAGGATAGCTACTATGTGTCACCTGGGCCAGGAATGAAGGAGTTGTACAGCAAGTTGATACATAATGATAGAGGATAGCTACTATGTGTTACTGGGCCAGGAATGAAGGAGTTGTACAGCAAGTGGATACATAATGATAGAGGATAGCTACTATGTGTCACCTGGGCCAGGAATGAAGGAGTTGTACAGCAAGTTGATACATAATGATAGAGGATAGCTACTATGTGTTACTGGGCCAGGAATGAAGGAGTTGTACAGCAAGTGGATACATAATGATAGAGGATAGCTACTATGTGTCACCTGGGCCAGGAATGAAGGAGTTGTACAGCAAGTTGATACATAATGATAGAGGATAGCTACTATGTGTTACTGGGCCAGGAATGAAGGAGTTGTACAGCAAGTGGATACATAATGATAGAGGATAGCTACTATGTGTCACCTGGGCCAGGAATGAAGGAGTTGTACAGCAAGTTGATACATAATGATAGAGGATAGCTACTATGTGTTACTGGGCCAGGAATGAAGGAGTTGTACAGCAAGTGGATACATAATGATAGAGGATAGCTACTATGTGTCACCTGGGCCAGGAATGAAGGAGTTGTACAGCAAGTTGATACATAATGATAGAGGATAGCTACTATGTGTTACTGGGCCAGGAATGAAGGAGTTGTACAGCAAGTGGATACATAATGATAGAGGATAGCTACTATGTGTCACCTGGGCCAGGAATGAAGGAGTTGTACAGCAAGTTGATACATAATGATAGAGGATAGCTACTATGTGTTACTGGGCCAGGAATGAAGGAGTTGTACAGCAAGTGGATACATAATGATAGAGGATAGCTACTATGTGTCACCTGGGCCAGGAATGAAGGAGTTGTACAGCAAGGTGATACATAATGATAGAGGATAGCTACTATGTGTTACTGGGCCAGGAATGAAGGAGTTGTACAGCAAGTGGATACATAATGATAGAGGATAGCTACTATGTGTCACCTGGGCCAGGAATGAAGGAGTTGCACAGCAAGGTGATACATAATGATAGAGGATAGCTACTATGTGTTACTGGGCCAGGAATGAAGGAGTTGTACAGCAAGTGGATACATAATGATAGAGGATAGCTACTATGTGTCACCTGGGCCAGGAATGAAGGAGTTGTACAGCAAGGTGATACATAATGATAGAGGATAGCTACTATGTGTTACTGGGCCAGGAATGAAGGAGTTGTACAGCAAGTGGATACATAATGATAGAGGATAGCTACTATGTGTCACCTGGGCCAGGAATGAAGGAGTTGCACAGCAAGTTGATACATAATGATAGAGGATAGCTACTATGTGTTACTGGGCCAGGAATGAAGGAGTTGCACAGCAAGTGGATACAACTTAAACTGAGGATTGGGATGGCCAGCCAAACTTGTGTTCACAATCAATAATGAAGGAAGGCAGTCATGTCTGCCATACGTATCAAATTCTTCACTCTGTACTCCATTATTAGCCGTCGGATTCATGGAGATTTTTCTGAGCCACAACAGGTGTATAAGAGCTATAGGTACCAGATTGTCAACACTGTTCCAGGATGTCGGTCCACTGGGAGTGGTGGGGTCACACTGTTCCAAGTTGTCGGTCCACTGGGAGTGGTGGGGTCACACTGTTCCAGAATGTCGGTCCACTGGGAGTGTTTGGGTCACACTGTTCCAGAATGTCGGTCCACTGGGAGCGGTGGGGTCACACTGTTCCAGGATGTCGGTCCACTGGGAGTGGTGGGGTCACATGATCTTCTGTTGTGGCTTTTTGTGATCGACTCGATTGCAACAGACATATGGTTATTTAACCATGAGCAAATCAGATTCATTTAACATACAAATAATGCATTCTAGTCTGTATATGTAAATTTTCAATTTAAGATTTCATAGCAATACCTTGCCTATATATAGAGAACGTATCATTGAAAGCACAATCCTTAGGACCACTTGCCATGGTTTGGTGTTTTTTTTCCCTATTTTTCCCAAAGTTGGCCAATTGTTGAATTAATTTTAATCCAGGTGTGAATGTGATATGTGTGTGATGTGGTTAAGAAGAAAGCAGTCTTCAGCTGGACAAATGCCTGAAAGTGTCGTTAGTAAAATGGATTATTGATGAAATTAAGAGAAGTGATTTCATATCGAATTGCTTGATGTGGGAGTTTCCAAATACATACCTGTATGAGAAGCTTTGGTTTTTGAGAACACATGTACTGATTGGTAAACATTGAAGACCCATGTCTGCGGAGCTTCTCTTTCCCGTAATGTCAACATAATTATAACATATGGGTTGTGTTGCATCGTATCACCTCTACATCTTTTATTTCTTGGAGTTATGTAACAAAACTGAAAATAATACTGAAACAAGCACTTATTAGAACATTAAAAAATTACATCAATTTCATCCTTCGTGTTCAGAACTGTTTACAAGTTGGCAGACACTTAAAAGTGACCGCTAAACATATTTTTTCATCATGATTGAATTTTCATGTGTGTATTACGTTGTATATCTATGTTTTCCTTTACGTGTGTCATGTGTAGTTCTGTATTATGTCATATACCTGTGGTATGTTATCACTTACGTGTGTCATGTGTAGTTTTGTATTATGTCATATACCTGTGGTATGTTATCACTTACGTGTGTCATATGTAGTTCTGTATTATGTCATATACCTGTGGTATGTTATCACTTACGTATGTCATATGTAGTTCTGTATTATGTCATATATCTGTGGTATGTTATCATTTACGTGTGTCATGTGCAGTTCTGTATTATGTCATATACCTGTGGTATGTTATCATTTACGTAAGTCATGTGTAGTCCTGTATTATGTCATATACCTGTGGTATGTTATCATTTACATAAGTCATGTGAAGTTCTGTATTATGTCATATACCTGTGGTATGTTATCACTTACGTGTGTGATATGTAGTTCTGTATTATGTCATATACCCGTGGTATGTTATCATTTACATCAGTCATGTGAAGTTCTGTATTATGTCATATCCCTGTGGTATGTTATCATTTACGAATGTCATGTGTAGTCCTGTATTATGTCATACACCTCTGGTATGTTATCACTTACGTGGGTCATATGTAGTTCTGTATTCTGTCATATACCTGTGGTATTTTATCATTTACATAAGTCATGTGAAGTTCTGTGTTATGTCATATACCTGTGGGATGTTATCATTTACGTAAGTCGTGTGTAGTTCTGTATTATGTCATATACCTGTGGTATGTTATCATTTACGAAAGTCATGTGTAGTCCTGTATTATGTCATATAACTCTGGTATGTTATCACTTACGTGTGTCATATGTAGTTCTGTATTATGTCATATACCTGTGGTATGTTATCATTTACGTGTGTCATATGTAGATCTGTATTACGTCATATACCTGTGGTATGTTATCATTTACGTAAGTCATGTGTAGTTCTGTATTATGTCATATACCTGTGGTATGTTATCATTTACGTAAGTCATGTGAAGTTCTGTATTATGTCATAAACCTGTGGTATGTTATCATTTACGTAAGTCATATGTAGATCTGTATTATGTCATATAACTGTGGTATGTTTTCATTTACAAAAGTCATGTTATTCTGTATTATGTCATATACCTGTGGTATGTTATGATTTACGTAAGTCATGTGAAGTTCTGTATTATGTCATAAACCTGTGGTATGTTATCATTTACGTAAGTCATAGGTAGATCTGTATTATGTCATATACCTGTGGAATGTTTTCATTTACAAAAGACATGTTATTCTGTATTATGTCATATACCTGTGGTATGTTATCACTTACGTGTGTCATATGTAGTTATATAATATTTTATATATCTATGTTTTCATTTATGTATGTTGTATGTAGTTCTGTATTAGGTTATGTATTCATTTATGTATGTGTATGTAAAAGTATATGTTATGTTTTTTAAGCAATTTTCTTTTTTGAGACCTTCCTCGTCCCTGGAAAGGAAACAACAAAAGACTGATCAATATTTCCAGTTGTTCAAGTTATTGTTCTCTTTCATCTCCGGTTTTATTTACGTCCAAGATTTGCAACCACAAATACGAAAGAAGAGAACATTGTTTTTATATATATCTACAAATGTATTAGTATTTGTCAACCCTTGTGTCATTCAAACAACACATATTCCATATGTTATTTGTACCTTTCTTCAGAAATTAATCTTAAAATTTCTAAAGATGTGTTTAGATATTTCTCATTCCAGATATTATCATCAGCTTTCACCGAAACGGGGTATATTATTTTGGGTTTGTCTGTCTGTCTGTGTAAAAGACAGTATTGGATGACAAATTGTTGGTGTGCGTGTGTAAAAGTCGGTATTGAATGTGCGTGTGTAAAAGACAGTATTGGATGACAAATTGTTGGTGTGCGTGTGTAAAAGTCGGTATTGAATGTGCGCGTGTAAAAGACAGTATTGAATGACAAATTGTTGGTGTGCGTGTGTAAAAGTCGGTATTAGATATTTGGTAAATGTTGATGATACAACGACAGCTTTTACAATACACTTAGGTAATTTGATATTTCAAACTGCATTTAAATTGTATTTTTCAACATGTTAGGATGGAATTGATGCTAGCTTTTTAGAAGGATTATGACATATTTGCCTGTTTTACGTTAAACAATATATCTTTATTTTGTATAACCACATACTAGGGTATGTTTTCAGCATTTTAATTTTGACATGAAATTTACATTTAAATTGTGTCATCAGTATTACATCTAAGGTTCCCACGTTAAATTGTAAATTTATAAATCTTTTATTGATTATCAAACAATCAAACTAAAATATGAATTGTACGTGCATTATAAATCTTAACTTTTTCAGTTTATGACTATATTTGTTTCTACAGGTGAATTTTGGAAATGATTTGAGTTCATTTGTATCGGGGAAAAATTGAACATCCCTGAAGACACATTTGAACTCTTCCAATTCAAAGGTTGGAATAGTCCACTATAAAATTTCAGGGATGAATGAGTTAATAGAAATTAAGGACTTAATCAAAGTAAGTAGCAAGGAAGAAATGTGGATTTTATAATAGAAATTCATATAAATGATGCTTATCAACACTGAATGTATGCAAATCCCCGGAGAGCTATCAATGTATGTGCATTACATCTCGAAATACAAATTGTGTTCATTTTGTACTTTTTGCTATGCTAAAATGCTGTGTTGTATTCTTTAATTAAAAGTATACCATTCAAATGCATTACAAGTGGTGTTGTTTCAGTTCATAAGGAAGTTTATTCCGTTATCCTGCTTACATCCTTGTGCTCCAGAACCCATATTCGTGAAACCATTCTCATGCACAAACTCACATTCTATGCTTAAACCCAATTTCTTATTCTTGAGATAAATTAATAAATTCAATCACATTTTGTACAAAAAAAAAATATGGAAACATTGGATAGACTATAAACTGTTACAGTTTTCAATGTTAACACTGACGTTTCGATTGTGACACCTAAATTAAGTAGGGCTGAAACGGGTAACCGAGTACCCGGTTCAGTAACGAGTACTATCAGGTTAGCAAATCCACGCACCCGAAAACCGTCCAAAAATCTAGGTCAGTGTATACTTATGTATTTATTGACTTCTCGGGCAGAAATGTCGCTCCTCACTGCTGATTGACAGACCTTGAAAACACTTGTGATCAGTATACTTGCTTTACTATTGAGTGCATGTAAACAATAAACTTTGAATATAAAGATAATATCGACTGACATTCTGTTGAACAATGTATCATTCACCGGCAGCAACTGAAGTACGTGAGCATAGCGTTAACAACACATGAGAGTGAAGTGAGACTACGAAAATTTCCCTATTGCTATGCAGCATTTTACAACTGTTTTACAAGACATAAGTATTAATTTATCTTTGTTTATGTATTTAATGAACTAAGTAATCATACTTTTATCAAAATAAAGAGCCATTGGTGGCCGTATTTCATTACACAAGAAAACATGGTTACCTGGTTACAGTTCGGATAAGCATACACGGTTATCCGAGTGGCATTTTTAGCTCGCCTGGCCCGAAAGGCGTAGTGAGCTTGTGCCGTGGTGCAGCGTCCGTCGTTCGTCCGTCGTCCGGCATCAATATTTAACTTTAACCAACTTCTTCTCAATAACCAAAATGCCCAGGGTACTGAAATTGGGCCTGTTGCCTGCTGGGATGAAGGGCTACCAAATTTGTTCAAATGAATGATGTTGACCAACTTTCAAGGTCACAGGGGTCACATGTCTTAAAATCTTGAAAACAACTTCTTCTCAATAACCAAACGGCCCAGGGTACTGATATTGGGCATGTAGCATGCTTGGATGAAGGGCTACCAAGTTTGTTTAAATGAATGACCTTGACCCACTTTCAACCTAATGTCCTTGTTCGACATTGAAGGTCACAGGCGTCATAAGTTTAAATCTTTTAATAGGTTCTTATGAATCAAACACTGATATTCTGTCTGTAGCTGTATTTTAGGCGGCTTTTAAGATTACAAGTGTGAGATTAATACCAGGTGAGCGATGCAGGCCCCTTGGGCCTCTTGTTTCTGACCGTCGCAGCCCTAAAATTAAGCAAGTTACAAGAAAATGTTTTGAGAATCCTAACATGAGCATGAGAATTGTTTCATGAATATGGAACCAGGGGTTACTCTCACTTCCCCTCTCTGCACCCCTAGAATATGGCATAGCAAAATTGAAGGCTCGGTGAGCTCCACGTTTGTGGATGACGACATCAGAAGACTTGGTTTGATCCTTTGATATATACATCAAAAGTCAGCCACATAACAGTAATATTGTCTGGCTTTCAAGTTGAGTGTCGCTCCTCTCTAATTTCAAAAGGACAGGTATCAGCCTAAAGATTGGTCAGTCCAATTGGTTGATTCTTTACTTTTGAAACTTCACATACGATTATATGTTAATCGTGACCGCATGGTTTGTGATGTTACACTGTCATGGCAAATCCAACTGTCAAAGACGAGGCCAACCCAAAGGTAAGCTCATTCCTCGAGCATTGATGATCGATATACAGTTATACGAGTATCAATCGTTATAAGCAACAGACATACGAGTATAAACAACAGACATACGAGTGTCAATAATTATAAACAGCAGACCTACGGGTATCAATCAGTATAAACAACAGACATACGAGTGTCAATCAGTATAAACAACAGACATGAGTATAAACAACAGACATACGAGTATCAATCAGTATAAACAACAGACATACGAGTGTCAATAATTATAAACAGCAGACCTACGGGTATCAATCAGTATAAACAACAGACATACGAGTATCAATCGTTATAAACAACAGACATACGGGTGTCAATAATTATGAACAACAGACATACGAGTAGCAATCAGAAAAAAAACAGACATACGAGTATCATTAATTATAAACAACAGACGTACGAGTATCAATCATTATATACAACAGACGTACGGGTATCAATCTTTATAAACAACAGACATACGGGTATCAATCTTTATAAACAACAGACCTACGAGTATCAATCATGATGAACAACAGACATACGAATATCAATCTTTATAAACAACAGATATACGAGTATCAATCATTATAAACAACAGACATACGAGTATCAATCATGATGAACAACAGACACGAGTATCATTCATTATAAACAACAGATATACGAGTATCAATCATTATAAACAACGGACATACGAGTATCAATCATTATAAACAACAGACATACGGGTATCAATCATTATAAACAACAGACATACGAGTATCAATCATTATAAACAACAGACGTACGAGTATCAATCATTATAAACAACAGACATACGAGTATCAATCATTATAAACAACAGACATACGAGTATCAATCATAAAAAACAGACGTAAGAG